GTGCTGGCTCTGAGCCCAGCACTGAAGGCATCCGCAAGGCCAGGCTTTCTAAGTGCTGGTTTCATTCCTTGTCATTGGAGAGTAAGCAAACTATGGAGGTATCATTGGAGCGAGCTCCAGTTTTCATGACAGGCTGCAAAACGAAAGTAAACAAAGAGTTAGGTTAAGGGCCACTAGCAAAGCACGTCTTCTTCCAGGAGGACTCTTGGGAGCATTGTGCATGGAATTGGAAAGTGCTTTTTCAGACCCATTAGGTGGTATTTTTGAGAAATCATGGAGCAGTGAGTTTGAAACTGTGGTTCCTGGACATCTGGGAGCCTCAGCACCTTCTCAGGGGCCTGGGAGATCCACACTATTTGCATGATATCACTGAGATGTTATTTCCTTAGTCAGTCATGCTCTCATAAGAATGTGGTGCAGGATCCCAGAGATGATATGCTGTATAATACTCCAGTCAATTGCGTACAGAAGCAGACATGGGGATCCCGATGCCTTTTATTAAGTTGGGCTTTCAAGACTGTTTCAAAAATGTAAAATGATGCCACTTATCTTTTTTTTGGAGGGGGGTTGGGAGATTTTTTTTTCCAAAAATATATTTATGTTGAGATATTTATTCTTACCAAATGAGTAGTCCTCATAATTTTTTCAATTTTAATATTAAATGCTAGGAACATCAGCAGAGATTACATGCACATAGACACACAGACACACACACATGCACGTGCGCACACACACACACACACACACACACAGCTCTTTGGGGAACCTTAAAATATGTTAAGTGTAAGGGGGTTCTGGGACCAAAACACTGAGAACTGCCCCATAGGATTAAGGATCCCTCTGAACCTTAGAAGAGAGCAAATGTGACCGTAGGAACCTGTGTGGCAGTAGTGGCTGTGGGTGTGGTTATATCTAGTCATAGAGTGTGTACTTAGCATTCATGAGGCCCTGAGTTCAGATCCCAGCATCAGAACAAACAAAACTGGAAGAGAGGCAGTTACAAAACAGCAGTAAAAATGAGCTATTATACCAGCTGCCCTGACCTTGGCATGGTTCCCAGCCAGGCCCTTCAGAAGGAATTAAGGCAGTTGGGTGTTTTGTTTGGTTTTGACATTGCTGGGGATTGGACCAATGACCTTCTGTTCCCCTACTTCCACCGTTATTAATATCCCATTTTATAGGCAGGAAAATTGAGTAGAGAAATTGAGATTTACCAAAGAGCATAGGGAGCATAGGGATGTGTAAGCAGAGCTGGCATCTTTGGCTACATAGGTCCCTTAATTCCACACATTTCCGTTTCTGTGCTGATTTCATCAGTGGCAGGTTGAATCATTGATCAGCGTGCCGTCTTCCAGTAGACCAAAGTGTTGTGAGATGCGCCCCACACCTCCTAGGGAAGTAGGTACATACTGCACAGACCAGTCTCAGATTTTGTACTGTGAAATAAGTAACAGGCATTACCAATACCTGGAAAGATATCAATAGCTCTGAAATGCACTGACCAGCTGGAAAAAGGATCACAGAGAGAGGGAGTAATGCATGTGTAGAGAAAATACAGCAGAACAAATCCCTGACTTTAAAAAGTATAGCGTGAAGGACATGCTAGCAAGATGAAAAAGGGTGTGTGGAGCGTGTGTTTGTTGGGGACGTGGTGACAGAAGACGGGCCTGCGCCGTGGTGTGTAGGGAAGAGCATGACTTGGACAAGCCGGAAGCAGTTCTTTGTAGAGCACCGCAGGTGATTTCTTTCAGAGGACTCTATCGAGCTCTGTCCTGATAGTTGTAGGAGGTGAGAAATACACGCACTGGAAGCATGGCTATGGATGGCCAGCACATGGGATTCTTCTTTTTTTTTTGTTTGGTACCGGGAATCAAACTCAGGACCTTGCACTTACCAGGCAGGCACTTGTGCCACTGAGCTATATCCCTGGCCCAGCACATGGGATTCTGAGCCGGGAGAGGCAAGGACTGGGAACAGTCGCCTGCCAGTGGGTCAGGCGAGGTAATGGGTGGTTAGTTGCCTGTGGTATGAACCATGTTCTTTTGATTCTTTCTGCACTGTGTGCTGGCTTGGATCTTTGGGAGGTGAAAAATATTTCTGTTCTGTAGTTCACTACATCCAGCAGATGCTGCTCTGTGACCTTGAACCCAATTTTCAGAATGAATGATGTATCAAATAACGCATCCCTAAAAGCAGAGCAGAGGAAATCTGTTCACTGGCCACTTACCAGGGGAAGTTTAAGAAGGTTCCAGATTTTTAACCACTGACTCTCTGAAGTACAAAGCAGAGCAGATCCCAAGAAGGAAATAAGTTGTGCTAATTGCTAAGCCCTGGAAAAATGTTCTCTTACCTTTTGAGAGAAAACCAATACATGAGAGAGTAACTAAGGAGGGGAATTGGCTACTAAATGTCTACTGCCTCCTCCTCACACTTGATTCCTAATACACATTTAAATGGAAAATGTGCTTTTGCCATAGTTTCCTGTGACCTAAGGTGGTGGTGGGGGGTTACGAGGAGAGGAAAAAAGAAGACTCCATGACTCAGTATTTTCAGGTTGTTGTAAAACCTCATTTGGATTCTGAATCTTATTAAAGTCAAAATATTGAGTCAGTTAATCTCATCGGCACTAAGCTGTGAGATTTTTGCTTTATGCATACTTTGAAAGGGCTGGATATAGGTGTATAGGTGTATTTTGTGTAACAGTGCTGCTGCTCAATGCCCTTGCTATCTTACTGGAAATATACTGGAAAATTCTTGCCAGAATAAACACATTCCTTCAGGAATGAAAGGCTTAACATATTTCTAGTGCAGCTGTACCTCTTTCTTGTGAGCAGATAAACCAAATTATTTGACATTAGCCATTATACTCCATACAGTTCCCAGTACTTTTGTGGACTCCCTTGGAGGTCATTGGGACCAAGGGTAAGAAACAAACTGAGGTAGCCAATGTTATACTATTAAGAAGTAAAAACCAGGTATGATGGCACACAGCTATAAACCCCACCACTCTACAAGGCTGAGGCAGGAGGATCACAAATTTGAGCCCAGCCTGGAAAACCTAACAAGACTCTTCCAAATAAAAAGTTAAAGAAAAAAAAAAGGAGGGAATGCTGGGAATGTAATTCAGTGCAAAAGCCCTGGGTTCAATTCTCAGTACTACAACAAAAAGAAATAAACAAGCAATCAAGGATAGGGCATCTATGTATTTGACAATTTGATATGCAGTACACAAAAATGAATCCGGCAGACAGTCTGTAAATTAGTTTTAACTATCCTGGTAAGGCAGGATTAGGACTATGAATCTAAATACATTGAGTGACTGCTCCGAGAAACTTCCGAGTCCTTTTTAAGAGGATGATAACTTTTTTACTCACACTTTTGGAATCAGAAATGAAAAGCATGTGGAGAAAATGTTGGTTGTATAGTGACCACCGGGGCCAGACCAGGTGACAAGGGGGATACAGTGCGGTAAACAGGATGCTGGGCCCGGGGAGGAAGGAAGCACCCCTTACATTAAGGGATGGAGGAGGCAAACAATGGACAATAGAGATTCGAGGAAAGAAGTTCACAAACATGGCTAGATTTATTCTTGTTGGCCTCGGTCCATATCCAGCCATCACCACCCAAGGTTGTTACCAGGCAGAGATGATAGTGATTATTTATTCATTCATGCCAACAGCATTAATAAAGTGCTTAGGCAAGGCAGAGAGAACCATCTTTAAGGGAAGAAAACTGACCTATTCACATATTACAGATAACTATCCAGTGATACTGCATATATTTGCAGCAATTGGCAATTAAGTTCTTTGCCTTTTTCTAACAAAGCAGTTAGAATTAAACTGCTGGGTAGATTTGCCCAGAGTTCAGTGACCCTCTCCCTCATGTAGAATTAAAATCCTAACGTTTTAAATAATCATGGGAAAGGCCACTTTAGATGTGAGATTGTTCACATGCTATTAAAGAATTTTATTTCTTTTTATTTTCACATTGTACAGGAAATAAAAGTAATTCAGCAGCATATTACTTCTTAGAAGTCCTTCTTGTGAAATAAAAAGCAATTCAAATTTTGAATATAAAAGCACTTTTTCACCAGTTATTGTATCCAGTCAGATTTTACTTTTTAAAAAATATTGTATATAAAGGAAGGGCACATAGCAGAAAGATTTCCCTTTCAAGTAATTAGTGTTGTTTTCTTCACTGTATACATAACAAAACAAAAATTAGTATTTCTACTAGTTATTATAAGCTGCTGTAATTCAACCTGAGAAGTAGAATAGATGTGAATTATAAAGAAAATATAGTTTACTTGAAGTCACAAAATACTCTTATTCTTTTCTTCATAGATAATATGTAAAATAAGTGTTTGAAGTAATCCCAAGCTGTTGTTGCTATACTTGAGCAGTTGCCAATAAATGAGTGTTTCACCTCATTTAAAAATTATTAATACATATAGCATCAAACTTAATAAATCACCCTTCTATTTATATGGTAGTTCCAGATTGGGAATTCAAATAATACTGTATTCATTGATTGAAGGTGATTGCTATATAAGAGTCAATTGAATTTGGTTTATAAATATAAATTATAAATATTAAATATTGGAAAAAACTCATCTCAATTTTATTCATTAATGGTCTATGATTATAAGTTATACTACTATTTTGTTAGAAACAAAGTTTCAGATTTAAATGAGTCTTGAGGTAATTTAAGGTAATACGAGCTATCATCCTCTGTATTTCCTAGAGAATGGAAATACATGGAAAAGTAAATTACTATAGTGCTGTTTGTTTTTCACCATAGTTTTTGAACTGCATTGTTCTACAAGCATATTACAAACAGTAGCATCCGAAGATAAACAGTTTCAAAATATTTCTTTCCTTTGTTTTATTAAAAAGAACTTAAGGAGTTTCCAAATTCTCCAGCTCAATATTCTATTTTGAAAATTGTATGACTTCTTCTTGCACCAAAATAAATCACGTTACTTTTTTTTCAATTTGTAGTTGCAGATATGGCCAATACACCATGAACCAGGAAAGCACTACTAAAGCTACAGAGAAACCTCCGTTCGATCGATCGAGTTCCCAGGATTCCTTGGATGAAATGTCTATGGAGGACTACTGGACAGAACTAGAAAATATCAAGAAATCTAGTGAAAACAGACAAGCTCAAGAGGTGGTGGTTGTCAAAGTCCCTGATGGTAATAACTAAATAAATAAAACTGTCATTGTTGGTGTAATAAAACTGTCACTGTTGGTGTAATAAAACTGTCATTGTTGGTGTATGTGTTTATGGAAAATTCATGCATAGGGAGGAAGAGAACAACCAGAAGAGACTGCCAGTTGCCTTTCAACTTGAAAATTGTTTGTGGCGGATGCATGGGTGCAGCTGCCCAACACAAGAGGCATGAGTAATTCGCTTAGTTTGTAGCTCTGGCTACACTCTTGTAGGCTAAGCCAGCTATGTCGTAAATTCTTAAGAGTTAAGCTTGGTCTTTGAAATCCTCTAAACTGCATTGATAACACATCGGCCACATAGTTTTTTTGGTCTCCAGGAGATGTAGATGTTTATGGAAAGGTCCTGATTTGAAGTGATACTGCTTTTCTAGAGGTCTGCTTGATTTCTTTTGATCTTTATTTTATTGATTTCTGGCCTATTAGCATCTAACTTCAGCTCACATGCTGTAGTTTTTTGCCTTTGGAGAGAACAGAGCAAGTTCACTGCACTTTCACAGGACAGAAGCCTTTCAAAGAGTTGAGGATATTTATCTCATTTCTAGCTAAGTCATTTCTACAAGAAAAATGTGCCAAACCAACATTTTTTGTGGGTGATTTTCAGATCTATTACAGTCATACTCCTTTTATCATTCAAAGTACAGTAAACCAGCCGAGATCCCACACCACCTGTTTGGCCAACTAATGTAAGGAATGCAGGTCTGCCTCAGAAGATGGCACGCGCATTTTTAACTTCTGTACTTGCCTCTTTCTTGCTCAAGTCTCTTCCCAACCATATGTGCCACACTGTGCACTACGGCACTCATATTCTGAAAGACACAAGTAATAATTTATTCTTTAGGTTTTTTTCCTTAAACTTCATTCCATTTCCTTTAATCTCTTAAGTTTAAGCAATCGCCAAGCTTGTATGCCCAGTGTTGGTGCCTATTTAATTAGCCTTCTCTCTATGCCATCTGTAAATTTGTAAGCACTGTATGTTTTTGTAAATCAGATGATATATGAATGCCACCAGTGAGGTCTGTGCTCTGTCCTCTGCTAAGAGATTTCCTTCTTGATGGAGTGACTGTCTTCTTTACTAAATGATTTGGGCTGGAGATAATTAGAAATATCTTCTCCTTTGCTATAACACTGCTTGGAAAATAATCCAATAATAATTTTAAAAGTTGAGGATGTTTTCTTTTTTAACATTCCTTAGATTTGTAAAAAACAAAAACTCTTCAACTTTCTCTTTCTTCCCCAAATATGTTAGTAGTAAAGTCAAGCTTATTTATGATAATTAATATTATTTCTTAGCCTTTCTGTCCAGTGTCTCAATAGGGAAGTGGCATAGAAGTGGCCCGTTTAGTAAAATAAAGTAGCACTTAAGCCATGTGTTGCTAGCTGCTTGATAGTTCCCTAAAGTTAAAAATGATGGTGACCAGGTGTGATGGCACATGCCTATAATCCCAGCACTCAGAAAGCTGAGGCAGGAGGATTGCCGTGAGTTTGAGGTCAGGCTGGGCTATACAGTGAGACCCTGTCTCAAAAAAATGTGTAGATTATCATGTACAGAGTGGCCATCGAGAATACCGGCCAGAGTGGTACACTAAATGACTCTCTACAGTTCTCTTTGTTTTCCTTTTCACAGCAATTTCAGCTATTTTTTTCCTCTGGCAATTTGGTTTTATATACCTGTACCGAGCTCTACCCAAACAGCATTCATGATAATGGTTGACTGACTTTTTATGTCAATAAACAGAGTGCCTCACACTAGCAGCCAGGGTTATTAACAACTGATTTCTGTCATGAAGGAATTTACGTCGGGTAGAAGGAGACACACAGTGTAGTCAGTGCCTTAGCTTGTAACGCAGGCTGTCGCAGTGCTCTGTGCAGCTCTTCCCTCCAACCTTCTCATCCTCGGTTATGAGGCAGCTGGGAGAGCTGCCCTTTAGTTTACAGATGGAAGGTGGGGTCATTTGGAGACTGAGGGACTTGCTCAAAGTGATATAGCTGCAGAATGGACCCAGGCCATGCTGTAAACATGGTCGGAGCACATCTATCCAGTTATCCTTTCGATTGTCTATGATTTTCATTAGATCTTGAACAACATGTCACCCCTTGATACTCATGGGTGATTTGTTCCAGACTGCTGCAGATGTCACAATACACAGTTCTCAGGTTCTTCACATACCACGGCATAGTGCTTGCATGTGGCCTATTGATGTCTTCTTATCTACTTTTTAATCATCACTGGACACATCTAAAACAACATCAGGGCTACGTACAGCAGTTGTTGCCCTGTGTGCCTCAAGGACTCATGACAACGCCTGTACACATTCAATGCAGATGCTCCGTTTTTAAAGAATGTTTTCGGTCTTTTGGGGTAAACTATCAGGTACAGAGCCTGCGGGATGTGGAGGGCCAACTATAACCACTGTTTATATTCCTATTTTCAGTGTTTTGAGTGGATCCAGTTATTTAATTATTTTCTCATATCAGCTTTTTTTGTTGAAAATAGGATGCTTCTTTAAATTTGAAAAAAAAATAATATAAGCTGATGTGCTGACTGCAGGATTAGAAAGATTCATTTGAAATTGAATTATTCCCAGTGCTAGTTATTCCTAGTTGCTGTCCGAGACCTCCCCCTGCTCCCTCAGCCACAGTGAACAGAAGAAGCAAGCCTTCCCGCAAAGGAGTGCTGGACTCTGGGTAACGCCGAATGTGAACCAAAAAACTGGCCTGGAATCCGTATCCACAGTCTGACTCCTCGTGCCATTGATGGGAGGAACTTATCTTTCCATTGCTCACTGGTCTCTGGAAGGGAACAGTATTTTCCTCCGTAGTTAATCTGCAGGGAAGTTGTGGAGGTTAATTACATGTGAAGTCATTTAAAAATTTTTAATCGAGTATATATGAAATCACCTACCATTTGATAGCACTGTCCAAGGGCAGAGTAGACGGCAGCTGTCCAAGTTTCAAATAATGCTTTCTTAACATTGCATTTTGGTTACAATAGTTTCAGAAAGAGTTTTTAACAGCTTATAAAAATTGAACGTTCTCATAGTTTGTGATTTAAAAGCTGATATTTCCCCCCGACTGTTTCAGAGGGCGAATTGGAAGAAGAGTGGCTGAAAGAGGCCGGCTTGTCCAATCTCTTTGGAGAGTCCGCCGAGGATCCCCAGGAAAGCATGGTGTTTCTGTCCACTCTGACACGCACCCAGGCCGCAGCTGTTCAGAGGCGGGTGGAGACGGTCTCCCAGACCTTGAGGAAGAAGAACAAACAATACCACATCCCTGACGTCAGAGACATATTTGCTCAACAGACAGAGTCAAAAGAAAAAGTAAGTTTTCTTCTCCAATTTTCAGGCAAGGGATTAACTCCTGAGACTCGCTTGGACCCACCCAGTTTAATTCAAATCCTTACAAACCTAGCGGGCACTGATGATATACTGGATACCAGAGGTTCCTGAAGTGAACCTGCAGGTTTCTGTCCCTACCCTTCTGGAGGTTGTACCCATGGGCAAGATGCTAGCAAGTGCAAGTTCAGTGTGAGCCTGCTCTTGGGAGTAGATGGTGTCCTTAGAGTTTTAGATGTAATACAAGGAGCACCAGGGAAGGCTTCCAAGGCATTCCGACTGCCAGGGGACTGCCTCAGTTGTTAGTGATATGCAGGTAGGAAGAACTAGATTGCCCCTGTCTCTTAATGCTTATAGGAATATTTGATTTTTCAGACCCAGGAAGGGGAGGATGTGGGATATGAGAGAGCTAATAGCAGCTGCATTACAAACTAGGGACCCTGAGACGTGAACTCAAGTCCCCTCTGTGTCTGGTGCTGAAGCACATACTCGGCGTGTACACATTTAAGTGAATCCGTGTGCAGACGGTAAATGTGTTCATGGAAGCTGTTGGAGTTCGGTAGAAACCGGGTGAGGCGCTGTCAGGGAAGGTTGGTGCTGTAGTACACCTGTGTGACTCAGAACACTGCTGCACACAACAGGCAGTTCCTGTGTTCATTATCATTCATTCACGAGGAAATCAGGAATTTGTACAGAATGTCAATTATCATTCTTTCTTTCACCAAGAGGGTCCCGCTTCTGAAAAAAGGCAAAGTGGTTTCTTAAGGTCACAGTGGATTTACATTCTGGCCCCAGTAGTGGCTCACGAGATCCACAGAAGTAGTTAAAATGGGAAGGAGTGAAGGGACTCTTGAACAATGAGTGTAACGGTACCAATAGCAATACCAAACTCTGCCACCGCTACCGAACGTTGACTGGGCTGACTGCCTTACCTGCTTTATCTCATTGCATCCCTCCAGCTGGCTTATGAGTGAGGTATTATCATTTCCATTCTAAGGCTGAGGCTCATAGATTTTAAGTAATTTGCCCAATGTCCCATAGACACTAAACCCAAGTTTGTCTGACTCCAAAGTATGTGCTTTTAACTGTTTTCTGTCCTGCTTTATTTTTGTTTCCATACATAGTTCTGATAGTAAGCATTCTGAATATGAGATTCTATTTATACTATAAAAGGGTGATTAAAAATGTTATGATTCTTTATAAATATAGGAAGTGGAAGAGTTTAAAGTTTCTGTCATTTGCAGGATTTTTGCTTTTGGGAGATGTTTCATCCTTCCAAGAAGTCTTTTCTAGCTGCAGATTGCTACTCAATTTGGATGGCCAATTTTAGATCAAACCTAGTCCTTTTATGGGAGTTCTGGGGTCACTAGATTGCTCCAGGCACTTGTCTGAGTTAAGGCCTTACCTCCCAGTGCTTATTTGGGACATCCACGGGTGCCAGAGAATTGAATGAGGTTTCCAGCTGTAGAAAAATGAGTGGAAAGGAAATATAGTAGTATAGTATTTCCTCCCTAATTAAAGAAGCCACCCTAAGGGACCTAAAAGGGAGTGAAGAGAGGAAGGAGGCAGAGAGCTGAGCCTAAGCAGAAGTACACTGTGGGATTCCTGCCAATCTTCAAGAGGATGTTGCTACCTCCTGCTAAAAGCGGCTCTTTCCGTAAATTCCTGGTAATGTCTAAACCATATGGTTTTGAGTCCAAGGTAATTGGTGGATTGTATCAACTGATGGGCTCGTTAAAAAATAGCACCAACAAATTAAAATACTGTTGACTTGCTTACACCCCATGCCTTTAATTGAAGCAGTGCTGCCCATTAGATATTTGGACTGCACCCCATGCCTGTCCCTCAAGCAAACACAACCCTGCTGCCTTGACTTGCAGTTCCTCTGCAAGAGGGTGTGTCTACTCCCCCACTTTCCGTGCTTGCTCATGAAGCCCTTGCTGACACTAGGAAATAGCATACAGAAATGAATACCATCTGCCCTGCCATCTTCAACTGTTAAGACAAGAAATGAAAGCAACGTATTCCAAAATGTGGGTTCCCAGACAAGCTTAGCATCTTGCTGTGTGCTCTGGGCCATGGAGGTCAGCTGTCCACGGAGCTGGGTGCAGGAAGGAGGATGCATGGCCCTGACCTCTGCATGCAGCTGTGTGCCACCTCCGGGGTTTGGGACAATATGCATCTAAATAGGACATTATTGGCATGTATGTCCCTGCTCTGGTGCTTTTGTAGATTGCAGGTGGAGCAGGCAGTTCTCTGTGGCTCATCCCTAGAGTGGCACAACAATGCCCACTTTTGATCTGGGGAGATGAAATCCAATAGAATGACTATTTTAAAATTAATTCACTCAATCCGGCCCCTTGGTATGGCCTTGCAGGAGAGGAGGAAGCGAGTTTGACCACACCCGCTGGTAGGCGGAGCCAACCACGCTGTCTCAGGTTCATGAATCCCAGAGGGCCACAGTCTCAGGGGTCCTTGCCCCAAGCCCTTGGCAAAAAGAATTCCACTGAATGTTTTAGGACTCAATGTCAATTGACTAATTTAGTTTGAGTTTAATCTTACATTTATTACTTGCTTTTTTTTACAAAAGAGTTTCTATTTCAGCTTGTAACTAATTCAGCTTTGTAATTTTGTGTTTCCTCTCAGCATTGTTGCTATATAATCCATGTACTGGAAGCTTATCCAATGAAAGTGTGCATCTTAGTGGACTGTAGTATGGTCACGTTTTGCAGCTTACAACAATCAGTGATAACACAGTCAACGCCCACAGAAAGCCCATAATCACGCGCAGCCGTCACCCATGTTCCCCTCCCTACACTTAGGCAGGCCCTAACCTACTTTCTGTCTTTCTGATTTGCCTGTTCTGGACATTTCAGACAGTAGAAGTCATATGTGGAGTCACAAAATGTATGGTCTTTTGTGATTGGTTCCTTTCACATAGCACAGTGGTTTCGTGGTTCACCTATGTGGAAGCATGTATCAGTATTTTATTTTTACTGCCAAATAATATTCTGTTGTAGAGATAAACCACATTTTGTTCATTCATCATATGCTCAATATGAATAGCTTTTCATATGTTTCTCTTTTCCTCTCAATGAGGTAGTGGTGTGTGTAATGACAGGGACACTTGACATTTCCCATATTCCCCATGATGTTTTGTCTTACAGTCGTGGGTCATCTTATATTTGTTCGACGATTGTTTTCTTTTCCCACTGTGAGTGTTATAAGTCTGAGCACATTCTTTTGTACTCTAAAGGTTAGTAATGAAATTATTTACAATACCATTTTCTCAGGGTGTGACTTGGAGATGACTGATTGGTTCATTTTTTGACTAAATGGCTGATTTTCTGTGTTTAGGCTCCAGATGGCCCTGAATTGCAGGCAGTCAGAACAATTGAAAACAAATACCAAGAAAAAGATGGTATGTTGGACTTCATTCCTACTCCTTTAATTAGCCTAATAGACAATGTTAACTTTTAAGACATTCACCTTTCATTCTAGCAAGCAAATTCTGTTAAAATAATAATGTAAGACCCCAAATAGGTAATTACATGAAGCTGAATGTGTACTTGGCCTTTGAGGTTCAGTGTATCCCTATCTGATCCAAAAATCCATATACATAGCATCCTAAGTGAGTATCATGTGTTATATGTGTGTTAGGTGTGTTAGGTGTTACATAGAGGTCTTAACTTCATTTCATACACTCATCACTTCTACATGGTAGGTTCTGGTCTTCAGCCTTTTTGTAGATAAGACAACTGAATTTTAGAAAATGTAGATTCATTGTTCCAGGGTCATACAGCTAGAAAGTGCAACCAGGGAATTTAAAGCTTTCTTCTCAAATTCATAAATGGATTAATTTTCAAAAATTTTATGGGCACTTAAGAAAATTAAGATTTGGGGGGGCAGTTGATTATTGTTTTTTTTTCAAGGTTTTTCCTTGTTGGATATTTATTGCCAAAATAAATTGGAAATTTAGAGCAGGGAAAAAAATGAATTATAGGACTCTATTAGTACTTATAAGACAAAAAACATAGCTGTTTCATTTGTTTACAAAAAGGAAGACTGTTCTAAATTAAGGCCATTGATTTAAGCTTAATAATTTAGTCCTTAATTGTTACTTAATGAACTATAACAAAAGTGAAATGTGTTTATCTTCTTAAATTTCAGCATCTTGGGCATTCATGCCACTAATATTTGGTTTGGAAGTGGGAGGTGGGTATCAGGTAAACCAGATACCTAGGAATGTTCCCAATCTTTCCAGTGAAAATCATGCATTAGCCCTAGACGATGTGGGAAATTTTAGAGCCTTAGCACCTCCAATGTAATTACTTCTTTCTGCATTTTTTTTGGAATGTATTTTCTCTCTTGCACCTCCTACCTTAAAAAAATACATGCATGTGCCCATATGTGTGCATACACACATACATACCTATGAAAGCACTTGATTTTTCCTACTCTTCTATGAAAGTTTCTGTAGCTCTGTGGATTATAGCAGAAGAAAATTCCTGGTGTTCCCTCAAATCTGTACCCCAGCAAGGAAAGTGACTGGCAAGCTGGAAGAGCTGGGGGGAACAGCCAGATTTTTGGTGTCAGTGTCAATATGCTTACAGCAAGCTCTGGGGAAGAGTCCCTGACAGATACTGAGGAAAATATTGTCCTTTCTTTGTGTTTTCCTCCCTTGCCAGAGATCTTAATGTAGGCAGCATCCGTGAAAGTTCTGGGAAACAAGTTCACTACGCGGGCATTTTCCAGCCTGGATTGTAGTGGACAAGGGCAGCGTGACAACCCTGCTGCCTGACTTACATCTGCTTTTGCTGGAATGCTAAGCGGTGGGCACTGAGCCTCCAATCAATTACAGGAGGACGTGTCAATTGCCATCCAGGTTGCTGGGCAGTAGCAGTTAAGCACCCATTCTGGGCAGTGCCACGTTCTCATCAGCCAGTGAGCCAACAGCTTTACCCAAACATTGGAAGGCTTGCAGGAGACACATGGGAAAGCTGTCTGGACTCCCAAGCGGAACTGTTTCCGATTTAGCTCGGAAGGCGTGGGTGACAGTGTGTTTTGAATGTTTCCCCTACTTTTGGGTTTTCAAACATGTTCCATCAGCAGTACTTTCTCCAAATTTAAAAGTTATAAAGTTTGAATATTGCAGGTGTTGTCATGTTTACAATTAATCTACCACTACCTGGTCATCTTACCTGTTTGTCAAATCCTCCCACTCTCTCTCTGGAAGGCCCAGAGTTTAATATATCTGTTTAGAAATACTAGTCATGTCAAACAGTTAAACTCTCACATTGATATGTCTGTTTATCTCTCTCTCTCTCTCTCTGACTTCAATTGGAGAAGAAAAAAGCTTTTTAAAAACAAATACATTCCTAGATATTTGGGATCGTTAGAAGACTTTTGGAGATTTGTACCTAAAACCTAATGCTATTGTTCATTTTAAAACAAAGCAAAATGGATTAAAGAAATCATAATATTGACACTGGAAGACTTTCAGAGTAGAAGGTTTACCTCAGCATTCCCTTTTAAGTCTTCTCTTTGACAGTAATTAATTCCTCACTTTTGTTGACTCATTAACCATCCATTTCCCGGAACAGCGCTCTTTCTCCCATCTCCTTGGAATTATTTTCCCTAATCTCTGCCTTGACTTCATTTACCATTTGAACTGAGGCTTTTTTAAGTAATGTACTTTTATTTTTGTCATATTTTTAGAGGTAGCTCCTGTATCTTAATGTGTCCTAACTTAATTATAATTACTAAGCTTTAAATTCTGCACAGCCCCTTGATCTAGGTGTGTGTTAGGGAGAACGATTATAATAACTCTGCCATGGAATTTTGAGGAAAGTAGTTTATAAATCCTTGTCTGAAAACTTTTATCTTTTAAAGATAGCTTCTAATTTAAGAAAATGGCTAATCATTGTTTTCTCTTAGAATAGTTTCCTAGGAAACCAATGTACAGATCCACAGTAAATCATACAGTATAAATGCATGGGAAAATAAGATGGTCTTTGATATTTATGTTAATATTTTTAAAAAATTGGTATCGTAAATCTCTGATTTCTAAAGATCATCAGGCTGTGGGAAACATAAATATGGCATAGATGGTGGCAGATAACACTGTTAGTGTCCAGGAGCTGTCTCTCAGTCTTCATTTGGGAATAGACTGGGTAAATGTTCCCTTCACTGTGTGAGAGGCCGTGAGGGCCAGCTGGACCCGGCAAACCGGAAGTGTCAGCATCTGGTTCAGTTTTCAAGATGGCGACAGCAGACGTTCCAACTCGGCCGGGCCCTTCCACGCTTGGAGCCTGGTGACTACATAGATTACACACTGTGAAGCTTCCCTGCTTGTTAATGAAAATAAATAAGGCTAGATTTACATTAAAAGTTTGTTTTCATTAGAAGAGGGTTTTTCTTCATAGATTAAATGAATATAAATATGTGTTTTCCAAATAGCAGACTATGAATAATACATGCATTTATTAAATTTTTAGATTAGCATTGCCTTCTATCACTTCATTGTGTCTCTAAAGGAGCATGTTAGTATGTAAGCATGCAAATCAGAGGTGTCCCTTTATTTTTTTAATTTAGATAGTCTTACTATGAATCAAAGGTCTGCAGTATCAGCAATCTTAGGCAGTGGTGCCAGAATTTCTCCAGTGTGAGTTGCATTAAAAGCCAAATGTTACCAAATAGTCAAATTCAAAAGTATTTTTACCAATGCATAAAGCTGGTGTTTTTGCAGATGTTTGAATGTTGTTTTGTCCTGGTAAATTGACAAAAAGAGAACCCAAAACAGAGCCAAAACAATTAAACATATTACACTGATATCCTTGAAATGTTGATCAATATCTGAAGCTTATTTGACTTGTGTTTCTCTCTTTGAGAACTTTCATGTTCTTTGATAGAATAAGGTAGAAGGCCTCTTGGTTCCTGTACCAGGTACCTGTAGGCCAGATTCCTGTGATAGCAGATTTTTGGCATTAACTTTTGTTTTGGAATTTTTACTATGATAGGTAGGTTACGTTGTAGAAGGAGGTTTATTCCAGGACTCTGTTCTACTATGAGGAGATTACTGGTATGTTGCTAGTTCTGAAAGAGACCCTCTTTCCTGTCAGGTCCTCAGTGTAGAAAAAAACAGTTGTTTCTGCTGACTATATTGAGGTTTTCCATCAAGAGTCTGTTAGCTTCCAACAGTGTTTGAGATTTGGTCTTAGTCTAAGAATTGTGATCTCGTGAAAGATTCCATAGTTTAATGGTGGAGTTTTAGTCATTCTCTCTCCGCCCTCTTCCCATTCCTCAATGATAGAGTGCATGGAATATGGTACTAAAATAACAGTTAATTACTGCCTGGAGAAGATAGTACTCTCCCCCAATTTTTGTATATAGTCAATGCATTAGGACACACACATGGAGCAAGCATACGAATTGGGTCTTGGGTCTTTTTCCTTCCAGACCAGGCTTCCTGCCTCACTGTTAGTGACAAGGAGCTGATCCTGCCTGTGCCTGAGGACACACCTGCCTCTGTCACGGACATCAACCTGGAGGTGTCATTTGCTGAGCAAGCCTTCAGTCAGAAAGACAGCGCCAAGGACAAGGCACAGAAAACTAAAGGCAACGATGCCTCATTACCTGTACGTAGTATGCAGTCACATGTCCCCAAAAGAATCTACTATGTCTCTCTTTTTTAATCAGCTTTTTACTTTGGAAAGTTTACAACCCATATGTGTAACATAGTAAGCACTCGGTGGCCTTCTCAGACTGCCTCCAGTTCCTGCTGTTTTATAATCTTTCTTTTTCTATATCTGTCCATCTGTCGGTGATCTGCTATCTGATACACACTCACTTTTTATTTTCAGGTTATTGGGGCATACAAAACAAAAACAGTTTCTTAAGAAATTGAACACCAGTGCACACCTATAATCCCAGCACTCGGAGGCTGAGGCAGGAGCACTGCCACAAGTTCAAGGCCAGCCTAGGGTACATAGTGAGTTCAAGGCCAGCCTAGACTACAAAGCAAGACTTTGTTAAAAAAAACAACAACAACAACAAAAAACCTCCCCCAAACTGAAAGCCAAAAAACAAAAGAACAGTTTGTAATAGTTAAGAAACTGAACACTAAAGCGATAGGACAGTTCAACAGGCAATCATGTTAGGAACTTCCTAGTTGTGCTAAGATTGTGCTTTATGGCTTCTACTTTTTCTACCCCATTTGGGATGTGAACGAGGAACACACAGTGCATTGTTGCTCTAATGTTTCCCTAGGATTAGAGTTGCTCCCATTTTTTGCTTGATATTTTTGAAAATCTAGAGCAATTTTCTGATTTTCTCTGGTTGTTTCCTTATAACTAGATTCCAGTTAAACATTTTTTAGCCATTCTGCTGTAGAAGGGGTCTTTATGCTTCTGTGTGCATTATCAGAGCTGTGGCGTGTTATCCGACAGTCACTGTTGGCGATGGTCATTTGCTCACCAGCTTGGCTAATGAGATGTTCACCGTGTCTCGTAGTAAAGGAACCTTTTTATGTGCACCTAACGCCCATTTGTGGTCCTGGATGCTGGTTAAATAACACAGTAACCATTGCCCAGTGAGTCACCGTCCTTTTTCATCATCCCTGAAGCAGGAATGAACTGATATTCGAAAAACAGGGGTTTTCTAATTCTATTATTCCTTCTGCACTTACTGGTTAACCATCTTCTGTAATCGTTGGTTTCCTTCCCTTTTTTTTTTTTTTTTGTATTGTTTTGTTTTCAAATATCCCTAAGGCTTGGTGGTTTTATTTTTTTCCTTCAGGGTTTTAGAAATCCTTGTCATTTTTCTTTGATGTTCAAGTGTACACAGCTGTCACCAGTAGGGGGCGCTCTGAGCTGGTTTCAGCGTCACTGTGACCTCACCCTTCATCATCCTTCTTCGCTGCCCAGCAGAAGATGTGCCAGGCTCACTTTGTAATTTTCTCAGGCTTGAGAGCAGCCGTGTCGTTAAGAAGCTCTGATTCCTTTTAGTAGCAGGCTGTTATTTAGAATCCAAGCTCTGTGTATAGAGTATTCTCATTGCTACTGAATGCCTTATATTTCAAAGGAATACTTAAAATTTCACCTCAAAGGTAAAACAGAGGGGCTGGGGATTTAGCTCAGCGGCACAGAGCCTGCCTGGCAGCGCAAGGTCGTGAATTTGATTCCCGGTACTGGAAAAAAAAAAAAAAAAAACAGTAAAACAGAATAATATGATGAAACACAAGTACTGGTCCCTCAGCCCAACATTCGTAAAAACATAGCCAGTCCGGAAGTATCTGTATCTATTCTGTGCTATTTGAAAAACACCTCCAAATTATGTTTTATCTGTAAATGTTTGTGTCTGTTGAAAAGGGAGTATTTTAAAGACATATGTTGGTGTTACCATTATACTTTATAATTCTTAATTTTAAGTACCCAGTCAGTGTTAAGATTTCAAATTACATCACAAATTTCATGATGTTTCTGTACAGGTTGGCAGTCTGGATCCAAACAAGGTCCACGTACTGAAAATGATCGATGTCTTCAGGACTCATCTCCGTCTCATTTCTTTCTTCCCCATCCCCTTCCCGTTTTCCTCCTATCCCTCTGAAACTCTAGGTCATGTGTTCCTCCCTTTCTCCTCCTTTTCCTCCTTCTTTTCCCCCTTACCTCTTTTCCTTCTTTTTTCCTCTTACTTTCTCTCCATGTTGCTACTTCTGTCTTTCCATCTATCTTTCCATGCATCTTTTGCACCCCCTGCCTCATATTTTATTTGTTGAAGAGACCTGGTTATTAAGGTGCAGATATTTTCTTCCCTGGATAACCTTCTCCCTATGAAGTAGTTGAACATCTTCTGCCTTTAAAAAATGGCTGAGTTTAGATGGATTGGTGAAAGGTTCTGTTTTTCTTGTCAAGAGAGGTGATGATGTATTCTCTTTCAGGAGACTCATGTATCTAGTTATATTTTTTGGGGAAATTAACAACTGCTTAGGATCAATACCAGGGTTCATAAGCTTATTAATGTTTGTAAATGATCTGATACTTACTTCTCATTTTCAGTTATTAACTTGGATATTTTATTTAAGAAAAACATCCTAAAAATAATTTTTTCCATTTATTTATCAGTTTTCAATTTTTAAAAAACTGAATCCTTAGCAACTTTATACAGTGACCAGTTAATATTTGTATTTGTTTTATAAAAACAATGTCTAAACTCATGGATTCATATATATTTGTTGTGGCCCAGGTAACATTTCCCAGGACTGTCTGGCGTCTTTTCTGTCCCAGACCTAAAATTGTATTCTTCTGCAAGAATCCCTGGTTCTAGTCAGCTGAAATACACTTATGTGCCTATCATCATCAGTAGACGTGTTTAGCTCTCTGGATTGGGAACCCCTTTCAAGTCTTTTCAGATGAGGGAAGCAAAGCTGCATCAGTCTTCCGTGCAGAGCATTGCGTGATGCACTTACAATGTCATGTAACCCTCAGGTGCCTTGGCCTACATTCATGCCCAACGTTCTCAGAATAACAATGCTAAGGTGACCATCAGCATGAACACTAGACGGTGACTGAAACCTGCTCTTCTTCAGTTGTCTGTGCCTTTGAGATTTATCCCATCAAGGAGCATATATATTGAAATTATTGTGCCACTGGGTGGCAATTCTCTGTATGGCTAAGTCACCAACTGCATACCTGGGTGGGTTAATTTGCTTCATTTTATTTTCAGATTTTACAGTTTTATTGAAATATAATTTTGTTTTATAATTATGTAAAATATTTATATGATCCAAAAGTCAAATCTAGAAACAACGTTTATTTTTTGAGAGGAATACTGGGAATCACACTCAGGACTTCACAACTTGCCAGGCAAGTGCCACACCACTGAGCTAAATCCCCCGCATGAAACATATTACAAATCTAGCTTTTACCCTTGAGCAAGTACCCTACTCAATCCCTCCTCTTGGAGGGAAACTTCTTATTTAATACGTTTAATAATACGTGTTTTTAATACGTGTTTTATCCTTCAGTTCTTAGATAAATGGTAGCCCACTATATGCATTTTCCTAAACTTGACCCTCTTTGCTTATTTTGTTACTTAATATATCCTAAAAATCTTACCTTAGTAAGAGAAATGCCTCATTCCACTGTAAGGCTGTATTGTAATTTATACACCCAGTGATGGCAGATGCTTGCTTATTTCCCGGCTTTCTCATGTATTTTGAAGAATCTGTTCTCAATACCTAGTGGAAAAGTAAAGGAGTTTGCAAAATTTGAGACAAAGTGACAATCATACTCCCCGAGGATTTGTCCTTAGGCATCACAAAAGATGGAAATGTTTGCGATGGAAGAATCATAGGCTCTAATTAAACAAGATGCGGATATGATTCACTTTTGTTGACTCAAACAATGACATTAAACCTAAGTAATCTCTGCTTGGGAGTTTGTAAAAACAAAACTTTCTCTACCATTTTGCTCCCTGCTGAATGAACTAATTTGTGTCCACTACCATCTTGGTTTTGTTCATTTGCCTCAAAATATTTTCTACGTCTGGGTATGAACTAAGGTGAATATTGGAATGGCGTGTTAAACGACCAGTAGAGTTATTCATCTGCCTATGTGTTTGATTTTACATGTATAGATATATTCGTTTCTACAGCCTTTTTAATCTAGAAAGCATGGATGTGTTACAAAGACTAGCATGGTTGATGAAGTGAATATTTGTATTCACTTCTCTGCAGCAAATATTTAAGAAGAGAAAACCTTCAGTTCCATTCTACCCCCCCACTTCCCTGGCTCTGTAAATGAAGCTTTTAGGCCATACATTGTTCTCCAATGACCTCATTTAATATTCACGTCCTTTTTCTTAGTGCGTTGAGCAGTCCTAGTTATTCTTTATGATCTTTAACAGTGGATTCAAACTGCTCCTCTTAAACTTGGGGATCTGTTTTTAGAACCTTTGAGGTGCTTTAGTTTGAGAATTTAGCTGTTGTGCATGTGCACACACAGAAATAATGCTCTGCAGTTGTTCACTTATCAAATGATCGCTGTGAGGTAGATATTAGTGTCCCTACTTTCTGTATTAGAGAGACCACATAGCATGCTAAGGCCTGACTGGTGTGACTAAGCTTTTGAAGGTTTTGCATTTCCGCACGGGTGCTAAGGTGTTTCCATGAAGTCAAGTTCATCACTGGTGAAATGCCCAGCAGCCCCTCTTACTGCAAGGCCTAGGGAAGAGGACCAGGAGCAGAGAAAGCTACCTAGTTCATTTACACAACACATGGGAAGAAGTGACCTTACATTTTAGAAAAATGTTTTATTTCATCTTTTCTTCAAACATATTTTTAAGAGATAAAGAGCTTTTCTTCTGATGAAATTCCACGGTTGTATCCGAGCCATTGAGTCTATTAACTTCACAAAATGATGAGAAACGTCATACATATTTAAAGGGGCTGCTATGAACTAAAACATTGGGTAAAGAACTAACTCCCTTCATTAAGCCCAGTGTTTAAATAAATAAATAATCCCACACCATATATTGGTAGGTAAATCCAGTGTTTCAACTAATCATATTTTGGATTTCTCTGAACATGTGCCTTGGGTTGATGCTTTAGAATAATTATATTGCATGTGTTTGGCATTTTAAACCAAAAGCAACTGATTTCAGTGAGACATGAAAACATATGTAAATGGGTAAATATGGTTGGTTCTGCTCGTCAGAAAACAAAACTATTAGCAGAAATACAGGGCCACGCAAAGAAAAATGTGACACGGTTTGTGTGGTTCTAAAAGTAAAGCTCAGTAAAGATCACAGGAGATCCAGAAGATGTCAAGAACACCCAGTAGATCTGATTCTGAGCTCTTTTCTGTGGGTGTGTGTTTCTTTATTCCTTCAGCGGGCTGTGGTAGAACACTGGAAGTGATAGGGAGTGACTAGGCTGCAACTCCTGACCTGTTTGTTTTTCTTCTGTTTTGAGACGGGATAGCACTATGTACTGCAGGCTGGTTTTGAACTGACTATGGAGCCAAGGCTGGCCTTGAATTCACAATGATCCTCCTGCCTCAGCCTCTAGGTGGTGGGATCACAGGGATATGCCATCACACTCAGCTTTTTTTTTTTCTTTTTCTTTTTTTGGTACCAGGAATTGAACTCGGGGCCTTGCGCTTACCAGGCAGATGCTGTGCCACTGAGCTATATATCCGACCCACCCAGCTTAACTTTTGACTTTGAGGGACTCCAAGCCCTATATCAATACATATCCACTTAAATTTCTGCCTGCCTGCCTACTAGATGTGGGAAATGGAGTAGACTGCTTACTGAATCTGGGACATAGGAGATCTGACTTTGAATCCTTAGGATGTCACTGGCTTGTGGCCGTGGTTAAACCCTTTCCCTGAGCCTCGGTTTTCCAATTAAACTGTGCTGTAGTAAATCTTACCTATCTGGATTTTTGCAGCATATGTGTTATCTAATATAAGCATTACCATTACCACTTTTTTAGCCTGCCATAGTATTTAGGAGAAAAAGAAAACCATAAGAGCTGAGATTACTTAAAGAGCTCTGTGAAAAAAATGCAGTAAGAATGCTAAACACTTCTTGACGCTTACCACTACGTGCCATTCGATCCTCCCCAGTCTTCTAAAGTAAGACCCAGTGCTGGCCCATTACACAGGTGAAGAGTCGGGGGCATCATTTACCATGAGCGATGGAGACAGAACCGGCTCCACATCCCGCTGGAGGCCAGGGCTGGAAATTCTCTCGGACACCTTCTGTGGCTCCGGTGCTGTGTTGCCACATGTTGTCACAGGAAAAGTAAACGTACCTCCAACGTTCGAAACAGAGCACAACAACAGAAAACCCCCTTTATAGTGAACTGAGAGGTGTTCTTGAGGCGTTGTTTGCTTGAAAGAAATTGGCTGCTCAATTACCAAAAGTTTTAGGAATTCTGAGAGCACAGAGACTGCATTTTTTTAAATATTCAAATTATTTATTTATTGTGCTAATGCAGGCTTGCAGCAGACAATGAGAACAGCGATCACTGAGAGTTGGGGCCTGTACATGACACATTCTCATCTTTTCTCTCATTTATTTTTGTTTGTTTTTCACCCCGACTCTTCCTCTCCTTCTCCGCTTCTTGAGACCTTTTCAAATGCCTGGGGGAGCCGGAGTAGGGGAGAAGGAAGGGGGTCAGGAAAGGGAATGGGAAAAGAAAGAATTGAAAGAGAAAAATGATGAAAGTAGGATTTGCAAATGGGAAGGACCAAGGGTTTGGGAGAAATTTTAAAAATAGTAATTTACTTAAAGAACCCATTATTGTTGCCATAAATACCCTTGTAACAAGGAACTAGCCATCATATTTTCAAAGCTAAAAATTCAGAAGCACAGCATGGTTTTAATTTTCATGACTCTAACGTCCGGCTGTGCAAGTTAGCTTTTACTTAGATCATGCATCTTCTAATTGTCATAAAGAACGACGTTGGTACAGAAAGGCTACCGAGGATTGAGGCTGTAGGTGGCACGGACTTTAGAGCCCAAATCTTCCAGCTATTCTGTGGCTGTGGGATTTGGTGAATGTTTAGCCTGTCGTAATAGCACGAGGCAGTCACCCCGGGAAAGCTCATGGGAGAACGAGAGTGTAGAATGCAAAGTAATGCCTTAGTCTTATCGTAATTAATTCTTTCTGAATGAATACATTTTGACTTCTTGGGCGTCTTGGAAGGAATTCCTACAAGGACCTGTGGACCACACTCGGGGAACTGGTACTGTAGGATGTCCCTTCTACACGACTATCTAGACCATGAATTGTTAATGATAAGGTACAAAAATCAGCAAAGCAGAGGGAATAAAAAGGAATCAGCCCAGTGTCCTTGGCAATGAAATGAAGTCAAGATGACAAGATTTTTATCAGACTACCAGAGAATGATCAGTGTCTTAGCACACACAGGGGAACTCTAATTTGTATTAAACATGCTACGCAAATTTGTGTCTTTGCCTCATTGTCTTACATTAAATGTGTTTAGTGTTTGAAAGGTTGAAGAGCTGGTGGGTGGTATTTGGGAGAGGCACAGAACAGAACGTCCCACTCACGCACGTGTGATCCTGGGTGGTTTGTGTATCTCAGTGCATTTGATGGTGAAAGGAACAATAGCAACCGCAAGGTGAGAAATAGCGGACATCTAACCCTCACAACATCCCTCTGAATGAGATGGCTCCTCCCTCTCTTCCTTCTTTCCCTCTCCCTTTCTCTCCTCCCATTTTTCAGGGAGAAAGACTAAACATTCACCAAATCCCACAGCCGCAGAATAGCTGGATGGTTTGGGCTCTAAAGTCTGTGCCACCTACAGCCTCAATCCTTGGTAGCCTTTCTGTACCAACCTTGTTTTTTATAACAATTAGAAGATGCATGATCTAAGTAAAAGCTAACTGGCACACTCTAAGCGTGTCATGAGACTGCTATTCCTCTTCCTCTTCTGCCTATTTGTCTTTGTCATGTCCTCTGCCTCCTCCCGTTCCCTTCCTCCTCGCAGCACATGCCTGACTACTGAGTTTTAGTTCCTCATGGTCCGTTACCTCGAAGTCACTTTCTTCTTTGGGCACCTCGTCTCTCTTGTCCTGTGAGTCGCTGGTCCGAGTCCTCCCACTACACAGCCTGTTCCCCTGTGTGTCAGACTTTAGAGGTGGACTCTCGTACCCCCTGCAGTTGTAGGGTCCTCTGAGCCACAGGGCCATGTGGCAGTCTACAGGGAGAAATTCCACCATGGCTTTGTCACTTAATCTGAGTACAACTTCTCTGTATAGTCATGTTTTCCTCCCCTTGCATTGCAAAAGTGGTTAGACATTGGAAGCTTTTACTATATTAATGGCATTTGTTTTAGAGTTTCAGATTGCCAAAAGATAAAACGGGCACCACGAAGGTGGGTGACCTCGCTCCCCAGGATATGAAGAAGGTGTGCAATTTAGCCTTGATTGAGCTGACCGCCCTCTATGAAGTCCTGGGTGTGGAGATGAAACAACAAAAAGCTGTGAAAATCAAGACAAGAGGTAACCTTGAAACAAAAAATAGGTTTATTCTTGTAGTAGCTGAAAGGGACTTAGCTTCTTAGCGATATTCTTGTGGGGGCCAAGAGTGGGCAAGGGCAATACTCACAAGGTAAATGGAGACTGATATATCATCAGAAGCTTAGATTCTGAAACATTGCCTGCAAAAGGTCTGTGATCCAGTAAAGACATACTGTGTCCTAGACCACAGAATAAAGGTGATCAAATAATTTCATTCCCATGGAAGGAAATTGGGAATCTAAGAATCATAACTCCTATGTTCTGTCTTTTGAAAACTATATACTTAAAGTTCATTTGGTGCACATATTTATTATTTCCAAATCAGACCTTGAAGAATGACTTCAAGGTGTTTGATCCTAAATGATTATTTTTACTTATCCTTTAGAAGGGAAACACAAGCGGGAGTTAATGGTCTGTCCCTTTGTTTGCTTATAAGTTTTAATTATTGTTTAAACACATTCTTCCCCCTGTTAAGAAACGCCATTGTGGCACATGTTATCATTCAGTTACAGTCTATGCCCGCTACATATGTGCAGCTTTTCTTTTGTAAACAGCTTGCTTTTCCTGCCGCATAGACAGTGAATTGTTTATAATATGATGCAGTAGACACCTCATCAGCTTCCGTGTCTCTAAGGTTTTATTGGCCTGGAAGTCCAGATAAAGCTCCATCCAAGGACAAAGCTTCACTGCTTAGGAATCTCTGTTCTCCTGTTTAACCATAAAGGTGTCTCCTGATGAGACACCAAGGAGGTGGATGGGGTTGCCATGGTAATACTTGCCAAGCCAAACCCCCAGCTGCTGAAACTTAGGTCTCCATCATGGTGGACTGGAAGGCCCATGGCCAGCTGAGGTGGGGAGGATTTTAGCTTGCAGCCTGAGGTGATAGATTTCAGTGTGAAATGGTCCTTCTTGTTTTCTTCAGGTCCATTGTGGAGAAAAAAGGATTCCAGATGCTTTTTTGGAGCCTGAGGCAGGGGTAGCGCATGCCCGCAGTCCTAGCACTTGGGAGGCTGGAAAGTTCGAGGCTTACCCCGGCAGCTTAGCAAGACCACGTCTCAAAATAAAGAAGGGTGGGAGATGTACCTTAGTGTACAGGCTCTGGGCTCAGTCCGTAGTACTGTATGCAAAAGGAACAAAAAGGAAAGCAAAAGGAGCTTTTTTGAAGTTCATTACAAAGTCACAGAGCCTTCTCCAGTATGAAATAGTGTAGAAATATAATTTAAATAGCTGCGACTCAGTGGTGAAGATGTTTAAAGTGGCTTGGAGAAGTTTTGTTTTATTGATCTTTTTTTTCTCTTTTCAGTATTGAATATTGAACCAAGGGAGTGCAGAATAGCATCCTTTGCCCATTTTTCACTATTGATTAATTGAGTTAATTATTGATAATTGATTAATTGGTTGATCAAATTTGCAATCTCGCTGCCTCAGCCTCCCAAAGGAAAGGGCTCCAGGCCTGTGTCACTATACTGGGTGGTCATTTTTGTTTTCAGTTCCTTCGTAGTGGAGAAATATTAAGTTGTTCTTATTACAGCTATCATTGTTTTAATGAAAGCAGTGATCATTCTTTCCAGCATTGAAAAAGATATCTGAAGACCTTATCCAAGATATTTATGTTCTTTAGTAGATATTTGGCATTCTTGAGATTACATCTAATTCCCAAACTGAGAAGTTATCTCTTGGGTTCCTGGCATTCTTCTGAACTGCCTCTCAGCGTCTGAGGTCTGTCCTCGCACCAGGAGACTCCTGAAGTGGAGCGGATGTTTTCAGTGGGAGCTCTGCTAGTACACAAAGCTATGAATTTAAATTTAAGATGACCAAGTACCTAGTAGATGCTTTTTCAAGAGAAACAGTTGTAGAACAGGATCTCAACGTTGGTTGATTCCTCAGAAAGCAAGCATTTATATTCAGCTTTATTAGAGAATGTTAAATGCCAATTTTGTATGGAAAACATAAGTGATTTTTATTTTAATCCAGAATTTTGGATTTGATTGCACTTAGTATATGTTTGAATATTTCATATGTCCCCCTAGCAAGCATTTTTCTTATGTAGCAGTTTTCCTTTTATAATTATTTCAGCAATGTTTTTCACGATTGGGTTAGTTGTCCTTCTCTGCCAGGCGGCTCTATGAGGCAGGGTCAGGTTGTTGCCACTGGCCCGCAAATACCTAGAGGCTAGAAGCTGTCATTTTCCTGGGTGGTGCTCGGTAACCCCGTGTCTAATTGAATGACAGTGTCCGAAATCTTCCACATTTCCATTTTTTATTAATAATAGAAGTGAAGCAATTTTCACTTCTCGTTACAGATTCCGGTCTTTTTGGTGTTCCACTGACAGTACTGTTAGAACAAGATCAGAGGAGAGTGCCAGGAACTCGAATACCCTTCATCTTCCAAAAAGTAAGTAGGCCTGAACTGGTCAGTGGAGAGAGAACATGTTTAAACAAATAGTAGTATTTTTGCACTCATGCTATTAAAATACAGTTTTGCAACTGATAGGCTATTTTATTTTGTACTTCGATTTTCTATTCAGGAAGCAAATTTCTTTCAAGGGCTCATAATTTTTATTTCATGGTGATGCTTTCTGTGTTATTACTGTAACTGTGATTACCTGGCCTCATTTTCCTGTCTTATATTAGCTGCTTTTGTATAATTGAGATTTCAATTCTATAATACATAGGAAAGGGAACTGCTTATAAATTTCTAGGGAATTGAGCCCTCATGAATATTTCATGCCTGCAAGTATTTCCCAAGCTTTCCTATTTACAATGAGGATGTCCAATTTAATTTACCAGTGCCTGTGTCCAAAGTAGGCAAAGAAACCATAAAGTAGAATTAGAAAATGATTACTAAACTATCAAGTTGCTTGTGTAGTCAACACTCAATTATTCATAAAGAGATTATCTGTAGCAATAAAAAATTTCAACCCACCCTCTGAGCCGTCATTGTTCAGGAATACAGATTGCATTTGATAGAAGCTAGGCAATGCCGGAGAGAAAGGCGGGCCCTTCAGTTGTGACTACTCCAGCTAGAGTCTGTGCAGAAGCCCGGGGATATCACGGATTCTGAGATTTCTATGGATGGGAGAAATTGATTCACAGTTGATCAGCTCAGCAGATCCACCCATTCCTAAGGCGCAGTCTACTTAGCACTTATTTTTCCTTTATTCTGAATCCCTCACTTCCCCATCCTGGCCACTGGACCCACTGCTGCCTGTCTCGCATTCATCCCGGGAGTCTCTACTGATGAAATTGATTCTGCACAGCTCATCCTGTTCCTCAGCCTCCGCCGGCCCCTGCCTGTAGAACCAGCGTCGGAATGAGTAGTTGTCAACAGTGCCCGTGATTAAGAGAGGCTAAAAATGTAGACTATGTATTCTAATTCGAGTGTCAGTAAAAGTTATTAGACGCAAATGGCTCTGCAAAGCCAGGATCTCAGCAGCATCCCTCCCAGGTGAATCAGCCCAGGTTCTTCGGCAAAACAGAACCAATTAGATTCTATGAAGAAGAATGGACAGGTTTATTTTAAAGAATTTGATGTCGTTGAGGACACTGACGAGTCTGATACACTGTGAGGGGAGCAGCCAACAGGCTGGAGACTTGGGCAAGAGTGGATGTTGTAGGGTTGAAACAGAATAGCTGCTTTTTGGGAAATCTTGCTCTTTGCTTTTAGGCCTTTGACTGATTGGACGAGGCCCACCCACAACATTACAGAGGGGAACCAATCCGTTTTGCTCAAACTCTGCTAATTCAAATTCCTATCACATCTAAAAATATATGGTTATTGCATCATCTAGGTTGGTGTTTGAACTGAACACACTACTTGTGCCAACTTGATACACACATTTACCAGTGTGCCAGGGTAGGTCAGCAAGCTGGCCTCTTTATATAGTCTGGTGCCGGCTGTGGATTTCATCCTAAGAAAAACCGTGTTTGTCAATTCTCTTGAAATCTTTAATTGTTTTGTTATATTGTATTTTTGTATATATAAAATTATATTTTATATTCCAGAGTCTTTCCAACATTTTGGAGACTCTGGAAGCCTACTGATACACAGCACTGGATAACAGCCCTATACTTTTTCATTCGTATATAAAATAAAAGGGGATCTGAAGAGTTTGATCCCCTCTGTGTAGGGAACACTCCTCTGTTTGAATCCTCCTGAACTAGAAGCAATAAATCCCAGTGTTCTATCATGCAAATTATGTTTTGATTTAGCACCTCACAACTTAGTTTTGTAAAATGGAACGAATTAGAAAGCAGTGAGTAACAGAAAGACTGATCTCCAGACTTCTGGGGGATTATACTTTAATTTTGAAGAAATACTGTGTACCAGGTAAAGGGCACTCATAAAGCTTGTCTATTATAAGTGAATTGGATCTGTTTTTCTTTTTTTCCTCTGGTGGTTTGTACAGAGGCACATTTTTAAGCCATATTGTCAGAAGGGACTGGAGAAACAGAAGTGTTAATTTTAATCTGTGGAGAAAGATAATCTTAGAGTAGGATCAGCAGTACCAGCGTACTCACTGTCACACTGATCAGGGAAATCAAACATACTCTGTATCAAAAAAAGTCTGACTTTATTTTCATTTTATTTTCCAGTTTACATATTTTGAAAAGTGCTATGAAATAATGAAAACAAGATAACTATATAGAAAAATACAGTTCTTTCTATCTTTTAAGAGTTGCAAGTTAAAGGAAAGCTATAGAGCATTATTATATTTTAATAATGTAATGTAATTTGGTAGCTAAAGAGATTTCTTTTTGTTTTGGTGGTGCCAGGACTGAACTTGGGGCCCCATGCATGCTGGGCAAGCACTCTACCCCTGACCTATGTCCTCAACGCTTTTCATTTTGAGATAGGGTCTTATTAAGTTGCCTGCTCTAGCTTTGAACTTTTAATCCTCCTGCTTCAGCATCCCAAGTAGCTGTGATTACAGAGCTGCAGCACCATGCCTTTCTAAAATTTCATTTTCAAAGTGAGATATAAGAAAATATATATCATTCTTTCAGACAATACATGTTCATAACTCTATTAGATATTATGATTCAGCTTTAGAGAACAATAAAAAGATTCAAATGTAATTATTCAGAAAGTACTCTTATTCAGTTACTTAGAGATCAGAACTTTTGTGCATTTAATGAAAGCCAAAGCCATATACTACTAAAAAATTTACCTCAGCAGGGAGCATCTAATTTTATTGTTTTTACTAGAATATAAGAACATTTAAACATTTTATAAGGTAAAATAAAAATATCAGTGGTATTTATACATTAATTTTAATACTTACAGAAATTGGATACTTACAAATTTGGTTTTAAATGCTTTATCATGTAATTACCATTTAATTAAAATTCATATAATTTTTACTGTGGGATTTTATCCAGTGTAATTGGAAAAATGTGGATTTAAAAAATACTCTAATTTTTAAAAAAATAATTCACTGACTTACTGGTTAAAGAAGGTTCAGCTTATTGTAAATTATTAGGACTTTTTTGGCATCACTGGGTTTTAAACCCAGGCCCTTCACAGTGAGCTACATCCCCAGTGCTTTGTAATTTTCTTTTGACACAGGGTCTTACCTCGTTGCTCAGGCTCCTGTCTCAGCCTTCCCGAATGCTGGGATCACAGGCGTTGTGCCACTAAGGCCTGGCCTGAGGAGAATTTGGAGACTATTCTTTGTTTGATTCTTACCTAAGTCCCTCAGTGTGAGCACATCTTCAGCCATGACCTCATGCAAGGCTGTAAGAGGTAAGGTGCTTCAAGAGAAAGTTGTGGCTTCTGGTGTCTACATGCTGCCCTGTATCTGAGGTCACTCTCCCTTTCCTTGTGTACAATCGAGAGACTTCAAGATCCAGTCTTCCAAATGCAAGCCCACTCTGCCAAGGACCTGACTGCCCTTTCGTCTCCTGGATAGTCTCCAACAGTTTGTCACTGTGATTCCCTCATCTGCCTCATTGTTACGAGATTCTGGCTGACATATTTAAAGGGAATTTTATTTTCATGAGATTCTTGCAATAAAGCCTCAGCAGTGGTTTCCCAGATGCCCTATTCAAGAGTACTTTTCCTGAAGTTTACCACCACATGAGTATTAAGCCAGGGGTAGTGGTATACACCTGTACTGTGGGAGGCTGAGGCAGGAGGATAAGTTTGAACCCAGCCTGGGGAATTGAGGGAGACCCTGTCTCAAAATAGAAGGGACTAGGGTTCCACCTCAGGGTTCAGTCCCCAGTACCACCCCACCCCCAAAAAATATTAAACAGGTATTATTCTTCATATCATAAATAATTCTTCCTGGGACATCAACCCAGAAATGAAATGTAACTGTACAAATGGTGCAGTTTCATGAGATTTATTTGGTTGTACAATGCATGTTCCTGGAAAAGCAGGGGAAGTGGAAGTTCTTAGTTGCTTTTAAGCAAGGGATATCTCCACTCTCTGGAGGACCACAACCATTCTGTTATAATGTAGAACAAGATCTGACTTTCTCTAAATCGTAACTAAAGCTTTTAGACTTACTATTTTGAAGAAGGGATTCAGAAGCTCATAAAATCCCATTTAGATGTCATTGTGATTGGCTTTCCTTTGTTCATATGTGAAACAGATGTTAAATTGTACCTGATACAAACACTAAAATCAGAACGTTTTTCTGTTACCACAGCTGATTTCTCGAATCGAAGAAGGAGGCTTGGAAACGGAAGGCCTCTTGCGGATACCTGGAGCTGCCACCAGAATTAAGGTAATGTGACCTTCTTCTGGCTCTGCTGATGCACAGTTTTATAGTTTCATTACACGTTTGCATTGTAAAATGCAACTTCTCCTCTCTACCCCTTGTTCCTATTAGTAGCAAAGTGGGAAAAATAAGAGAATATAACCTCTTAACGCTCAGTGGGTCTTTAGTTTCTCTACAATCCTGTTTTTCAATCTGTTTTTATGTTTCAAGATCACTCTATTACCTATGAGAAGGCTGCGATAAGGAGAACAGGATGGCTGGACGTGTCCGTAGGGGGCAGGTGCAGTTAGGATGAGTAGTAGCAACTGAGGGTTTATTGTCAGAAAGACAGGAGCCTGTCACTCCAGGTGAGCTGATCGGGACGGTGACGTGGGCTCCGGTCTGTGATTAGTCTTGCTGAGCGGGATGAGGCTGTCATAGCCGCTTTCTCTACTGTCACAGCTCCCTGCTTCACTGGAGCCAGGGTAACCCGGACTGGAGGTGAGGGGGTTCCTAGGCTTTGCAATTTGACCCTGTTTTCCTCTTTCTTTCTCTCTGTATTGGCATTTCCTTCCCACTGTTCCAGGATACTCTGACCCGGCTTTCGTCAGGGTCCCCAGCTCTTGCTTTGGGAAGGAAAGCTTCCAGTAAATGTACAGGAAAGAAGGAAAGAAGCCAGGCATGGTGGTGCACGCCTGTCATCCCAGCACTCTGGGAGGCTGAGGTCTGCTGCCCAGCCCGGGAAGTTTAGTGACGTAGCAAGACCCTGTATCAAATGAGAATACAGATCTTTTGCATATGGGAAGGGCACCACGAGGTGGAGTAAGGTAGAAGGGGGGGAAGCGGAAGGGAATGAAAAAGGACCGAGATGTGTGGTGTATATGTACCACTGCCCCCCAGGGAGTGGGATCAGTAATGTACTGCAAATGTGTACTAACAATGAAAATTTGAAAGAAAGTTAGAAGAAAGGGTTGAGGGTATAACTCCGTACAAAGGCTCTGGGTTCAATCTCCAGACATACACACACACACACACACACACACACACACACACACACACGGAGTGACTGTACAGGTGGTACAAATGCACACTACGTGTGCCTCCCAGGAGGATTCACATTTTAAAAAGCATCCCTACTTTTAAGTGTAGCTCTGTGAAAAAAAGTTATCTAGCCCATCCCTTACTTTCCAAGTTCAGCTTTGGTTCTGTACTGAGGTAGCACGAGAAACTCTCCACATCCCACATACAACCTTCCTGGACTTGAGAACCCATCAGGAGATAGGATTTAGAGGTGAGATCGTCTCCGCTCATTTCCTTTTGACCTGTGCCGTATGAAAAGTGCAGCCCTAATCAGGACGACGTGGTGCTCAGTGGGGGCCAGGGCCCAGCCTGGGGCTTCTGGGTTGTGGTGCTACTGGTGTTGGGATTACTGTGCATATTTCCCAGGGTTCGCATCATCTGTTTATGTTGATAAATTTCCTTATTTTAAGGCATGGGCTACCGTCTACTTGGCTCTTAGTACATGATGATCTTGTTCTAATAGGATTCCGGTTACCTGATTTCACACATTTCAGCTCCTATCCCTAAGTTTTGGGTCTCTGTGTAGACCTTCCCAACACTGCTTCGGGGTCTTTGTCGGTTTGATAACTTGCTTTGTCTCATGTCTTCTCGCACCCATAGCGAGCTCATCGGTGAACCCTGAGCACTGCAGGTGCCTCTGAGTCGGTTCTGAGAGGCACAGTCTCCCTCAGGGCTCCCCTAGGGACAGGCCATGTGGCTTTCTGAACTGGAGTCGGCATGAAGTGTGCTGCTCAGCTGACTGCTTAGACCTCCGGGGCTCTAAGGGCTGGTGTGGTGTTCAGCCCATAGGGTCCAAAACCGTGTTTACGTCGGTACAAAACGGGGACGTAGCGTGAATTTTCTTTTGTGACAGAAGAACACCTAAACATAATTTCCTTGGAGGCCAACTACGTGGGATGAACTGGGTCAATGCACTCTTGCATCCAGCCTGTTTTCCTGTGCCAGGTTGTGTAACACGTGGTCCATTCCATTAGAAATAATTTAAAACCTAAGCCACATTTCAGTTGTCTCTTTTCTTCTGTATTCCACTACATTTCTTTGTACTTTTCTCTCTCCTCCTTCCTCCCCGCCCCAGGGACCCCCTCCTTGTTCTCCTCCATCCCTCTTTTTCCTCCTTTCTTCTCCCTCTTTTTTTCCTTCCCGTTACCCATTTCTAGGTTTACTCTCATGGTTTTCAACCATTACAGAAGTAATTAGGGTAGAGGGTGGGTATTGGGTTAGGAAGAACAAATGTGACAAGTTCACCTTAAAAGAAAAAGAAGGGCTGGGGGTGTAGCTCAGCAGGAGAGTGCTTGCCTAGCGTGTGGAGTCCCTGAGTTCTATGCCCAGCACTGCTGGATTGGGGGAGGAGGGGTTCAAATAATAGAAGTAACAGAAACTTGGAAGGATTTTCAACATTGTAAGATTTATGCCACAGTAAAGAGCACATATAAAAAGTAATGAAACTAATCAGAGGTAATCTAGTTTAGGCTCGAGATTGAGGCCCCGTTTTGTTATATAATACAGTTTAAAATAATTGAAAACAGTCTTTTTTGTTTTAATAGACTCAAAAACTGTAGAATCTAGGCATAGTGTCAACTAGAAAGACTTTTAATCAGCCTTTTCATTAAATGTTTCCTCCTTCAAGTTTGTTGAGTAAATAAAAACAATTTTTGTGTATCTTTGGTAAAATTTCTCCTTTGTGAAGTACAACCAGGGTGCTATTTTTCTGAGTGACCGAGTGATGACTTTGGATACTTGGATAAGTTTTTTTCAGTGCAGAACTCTTGTAAAGTGGGAAACGTATCACATTCTCAGCAGGGGGACAAATGCATTTACTGATAGCTCTTTTTTTGTCCTTGTGCCTTGTAGAATCTTTGCCAAGAACTAGAAGCAAAGTTTTATGAAGGGACTTTTAACTGGGAAAGCGTCAAACAGCACGATGCAGCCAGCCTGCTGAAGCTCTTCATCCGGGAGCTGCCCCAGCCGCTGCTCAGCGTGGAGTACCTCAAAGCCTTCCAGGCTGTCCAGAGTAAGTGCCACCGCTCCTTGTGGCAGCCCTGGTGCTGGTGCCATGCATATTAATTGTCTGACCGCTGCTTGGCAACCTGCGGCACGCAACCAGATGGATTTGGATAGACACGTCGACTGGCGATGTCAGTGTGCTCTCAAAGGCCACGCGCTGTCTCCTTTTCTTTTACAAATACACGGGTCTGAGTAAACAGATAACAGGATGTTCTCTTTGTGTATAGATTAATAGCGGGGCATGTAAACCATGCAATATATTTTTGAGTTAAAACCTGGAAGCTTCACATTGCTCTCCTAATGGAATGAGTCATAGATCTCTGATATGGTTTTCATGCCAAGAAGTAAAAGCAGTACTTACTGGAGGAGCCAGGGATTAACCGTTATCATGAAAAGCACAAGGAGTTGTGGGACAGTCTGGGACCATTTCCTGAAAAATTCAATTCTGGAATTGTCAGGAAGCCTAGGACAGAGCATTTTGCCATCTCACTAGTGGAGCGAGGGCCACATACTTCTTGAGTGCTGGCATTTGTGGTCTTGGGCAGGCTCCAGATTGATTGGTGGTTTTTGTTTGTTTGTTTGTTTGTTTTTCCTGTACCGGGAACCGAACTCACAACCTTGCACTTGCCAGGCAGGCGCTGTGCCGCTGAGCTAAATGCCCATTCCCTTGATTGGTGTTTGTAGTTGTCATCACTCCTTTTAAAGGAGATGTAGTGATCTTAGCAGGTTTATGTCCTGGCATAATTATTCATTTTATTTCTAGAGGCCATCAAAAAATTCATCATTTTGTTCAAATAACTGTATCTTTAGCTTCCAAACTGGAGCATTTCTGAGAGCAAAAGAGGGACATTCTTAATAATTACATTGTCGGTCAGATCGGTTGTAGGCTATTCTTGAGGAAAGCCATGTTGAAATGAATTCATGAGTCATCTTGTATCATTTCTTCAAGATTTCTGAGGAAGACGTGAAATCTGCTGTTAATTTTTTTTTGTAACAGATTAATTTAATAGACAAAAATCTTCCAATTAAAAAAATTTGATGGTTTGGTTATTTCACATGCATGTCCAGGCTATAGATTAAAGACTAAATTTGATTCTGACAAAGTACTGCTGACATGATGCTAAATATCAGAGTGTTCCTTAAAATAGGGTAAGGACTGCCGGAGACAGTAGTGTCAGTGATGATAATGCCTGCCACAGACCTTTTAGTTGCTACTTGGTTTTCTGACTCATTCCGCGGGTGGTGGTGAATCCCTACCGCATTCCACACCCAGTTTTGCATATTACTCTTGGAATTAATGGACTCTTCCAAAATCTGTTTGCTCACCATTAAAAGAAATAAACTTCACTGTTTAGGCTGCACCCTGATTCCTCTCATGGAAGGTCCAATCTTGTACGTCTTTTCATGGGGCAGTAATTAACACGCAGAAGTTACAATGATTTCCCAATCTCTGTGTGTGTCTGCAAACATACGGCCGCTCGTCATCCCGTCACAGTTGGAAGTGAGCATCCGAGAGACAGGAAGCACCGAGCAGCTGCTCCCACTGATCTCCCACAAACACTCGCCCAGCGAGGCCCGCTGCTCAGGCTTTGTGTGTTACATTTCAGTGCAGTGTTTGTGCCAAGTAACTTTTTCTTGGAAAATGAAAAAAAGAGAAGTACGGGGAAATGTTCCATAAAGAGAAGGGTTCAGATTTATCCAATCTGTCTGCAGATCTTCCAATGAAGAAGCAACAGCTACAGGCCTTGAACCTCCTCGTCATCCTCCTACCTGATGCAAACAGAGACACACTGAAGGTCAGCTGCATTGGTTTGTATTGCATACCCCTGAGAACCAAGCAGGGTAATTGTTCAGCGTTTATGGCAAAACATCTTGATGTCTCTACTGGAAATGTGAATAAGTCTAAAATGAAAAGACCTCTTCTCCGTTCCCTCATCCCAGTTGTTCCTTCTCTTTGAGCCATTTCTTTCCCTTTCCCAATATCTATTGTGCCTTTTGGGTTTTATTTACTCTTTCAGGTTCTTACACTAGGGAGACAGTACGATGTTTACATGTGTGGTTTTGAAACCCTGTATCATTTTTATTGTTTTTCTGTTGTTTTGTTTTTGTCTATGTTGTCATTATGTTGTTATTGTTTTTCATTCTCTTTAAAATAAAATGAAAAGACCTATTGAAGGACAGATGGTAAGACAACCTTTAACTATTTATTTTGTTGGTTATGTTGTTATGGTTTTTTTGTTTGAATTTTCACTGTAACATATTGTTCTACCAAAGCAGATCGTTCCTGTTCCTTGGCTAATACCAACATAGTTACTTTTCTTTCTCTTTTTCTAGATTTTCCATATTTTATTTAATGAGCATATGTTAAGAATGTGAAATGAATGTTTAATATAAAAATCCTAAGGGGTCATGAAACTGCTTGTCTACAGATGATACCATCTTTTATAGTTCCAAGCGGTAGATTGTGAAGTTAGTCTTAATGATAGCTTCATGTGTTTGGTAGCCTGAAAGTAGACCAACTCAAAGAAATTCTACTTATTTCTTAAAGCTTTTAAATTTCTGATTTATACCACTTTGAAATGAGTTGCTCTAAGAGTCATATGATTTAATACCATTTATTATAAAGATTCTCAGAAGTTGTTATAATCAGTGTCAATTGTTCCACAGTGATTTATCTTATTTTAAAGAGAAAAAAATCAATAAAAAATAATAACATCAAAGACAAAAACGAAACAACACAAAAACAATAAAAACAATACAGAATGCCAAAACAAGATGATAGGAAATTAACAAAGGTTGTTATTTTACATGTTGTTATCTTCAATGAAGTTGCTCAGTTTGCCAGATGTAAGAATGCAAGATTGATCAAACAATTAGAATAAAAATAATAAAACAAAACATTAGAAATGATACAGAGCTTCACTAAACAAGATGGTAGGGATTCAACGATTGCTATAGTGCATATTGTTGTCTTCAAATTTGTTATTTAGGTTATCAGATATAAGCATGCAAAATTGGCCAAAAAAATTTAAGCATTAACTGTTCCTTTCAATAAACTAATAGACGTCAGCAGTACAATTATCCAAGCTATTCTTGAATATACATCTATTTTTTCCCTACCTCCTTCTTTCTTCTCTCCTTTCCCTCATCCCAATTCTTCCTTCCCTTTGAGCAATTTCTTTCTCTTTCACAATATCTGTTGCACCTTTCTGGTGTTAGTTACTCTGTCAGGTTCTTACACTAGAGAGACAATACAATATTTACACATGCGGGTCTGATTTATTTCACTTACGAGTATCATCTCTAGTTGCATCCATTTACCTATAAAAGCCTCAAGTTTATCTTTTTCTTATAGCTGAGTAATACTCCATCTTATAAAAATACCATATCATTTTTATCTATTCCTCAGTTGATGGACATTTGGGTTGTTTCCAAGATTTAGCTATAACAAATTACACTGCTGTAAACATGGGTGCACGTGTATTGTTATTGTATGGTGTTTTCGGTTTTTCTGGAAAAATACCCAGAAGGGGAATAGCTGGGTTAAGTGGGAAAATCCTAGTTTGTTGAGGAATTTCCACACTGATTTCCACAGTGGTTGTACCAGTCTGCACTCCCTCCAACAGTGGAGAAGTGTTCCTTTTTCCCCACAGCCCCACCAGCATTTGTTATGGGTTGATTTCTTGATGATAGTCATTTTTTCTGGGGTGTGATGGCATCTCAGTGTTGTTTTAATTTGCATCTTTTGAATAACCAATGAAGTTGAACGTTTTCTCGTGTATTTATTTGCCATTTGTATTTCTTCATCTGAGAAGTATGTATTCATCTCAGATACCGAGTTTTGGATTGGGCCTTTGGATTTTGGTGATGCAGTTTTTCATAGCTAAATCTTGCAAACAACCCAAATGCCCATCAACTAAGGAATGGATAAAAAAAAGGCACAGTGATTTATCTCAATGGCCCAAACTAATAGGGTTGTTATAAAAGGTTTAATTATTTAAAAAGGAAAACAATATATAAATGAATATTATGCTTTGACACTCCCTTAAATATTTCTTAATGGGTCGGACCCTTCTTTACCCACTCATTTCTTTCTGTTATAAGATGAGAGCTCATGTCAAGGTACTTCTGGACATGGTGGTAGAGCTCAAATGTTTTCCTGCAGCTCATTAAAACATCTTGCCCTCTAGCTATAGGAGCGACCTGTCTTCAGTGCCATGGAGTGAATAGTGATCAAGTAGCTCATGCAGGTTGCTTGAGGGAGACCAGGGGAACTTCCAAAGAGCTCCTCTTCTATCAGTGATTGTCAAATGTGTCCTCACGGGGCAGCGTTGGGCTTTGTCTCTTCTGAGGCAGAGGCCGGTTCTAGGGACGATACATTCAAATACCGTGAGCTGGGAATAGCTGTGCAAGTGGGTGGGTAGACTGCGGTTGCTTCAGGCCCAGGATGCAGGAGCCAGCCATGCATATCACAGTTTCCACTCCCCGCAGAGAAGGAGGAGCATTGTTTTGGGACTCACGTGAAGAGCCCTGTAGGTGCGACGGCCCTGTGAGTGAGCATTACAGGGTGGGAAGTGAAAGGTGTGCAAGTTACTGAAAATATCCCTGCGTTCAAGTGGGTTCCAGGAGTCCTAGGCGGAAACCCTTCTCCCAGTATGGTCGCTAGTGATTGGTAAGGCTGACCTAGAACTCTGCTCCAGACTTCGCCTTCAAGCTCTCAAGCACAGTCTTTGAACAATTCCATACAAGAATATAATTTTACAAATTTAGGGCAGCCTTTCATTCTTTGCAACCTTATAATTAACTAACTTTTGGGGGATCACAAACTGGGAGATGAAAAGAACTGATTTTACTTGTTTACAAAGCTTTAGTGACTTAGTTAGCCAGCTTTGAAGGTTTCAAACAAGAATTCTATTGTTAAAGGATGGTAACATTACACCCTGTACCAGATATTTATAAGCTGGAAATTTAGCTTTTTGTTTCGATTTGTTTTGTTTTTTGAGACGGGGTCTCGCTAGGTAGTTCACGCTGGCTTTGAACGCACCATGGAGCCCAGGCTGGCCTGGGCAGTAATCCTCCTGCCTCAGCCTCCAAAGTGCTGAGATTGCGGGTGTTCACACTGCGCAGCTTGTATTTAGGGTTATAAATAAGAAGGGAAACTCCATAGCAGTGTAATTTCAGGATGCTCAAAGCAAAGCTCCCTCACTTTCCTAGTGCCTTCTTTCCTTGGTGGGATCACAGGCAAGAATCAGTCGTGGCGGATGTAAAATATTTCCGTACAGATCTAAGGGACAGGAGGCCGCTGGTTGAACACTACGTCATGCCCTGAGTGCCGGGCGAGCACACTGCTGAGCGGACGTCATCATTTTTGCCTTGGATTACTGTGCCTTTGGAGCAGTGATCATACCTGCCTTCGACCCAGGGGGACAGCGAAGACTGATTCTCAGATCTCCAGAGGGCTCCCTGTTAATACGGTTATCAATGTTTGTCCTGTTATGGTTTTAATTTTGTTATGTGTATCATTTCATTGTCTCTTGCAAGCAGGAGACAACTATGCACACTTGGCAAACTGAAAAAGTGCAGAGGTGCAAAAACCTTACCCTAAAAGCGCACACAGCTCACAAGTCACCCTGTGGACTCCAGCTTAGGAGCTGGATCCTATAACACCAGGCTCATCATAAAGTAAACTGTTTGTTTGTTTTTATGAGACAGAGTCTTTCTGTGCAGTTCAGGCTGGCCTTGAATTCACTGTGTAGCCCAGGCTGGCCTTGAACTTGAGGCGACCCTCCTGCCTCAGCCTCCCTAGTGCTGGGATTATAGGTGTGCACCCCCAAGCCCAGCAGTAAATATTTACTAAAGGAGATTTCTTATAATATAGGTGAAAAGTATTAACTGCAGGGTTTTCAGCAGGGGCAAAACTAACCTCTTACTAATTTCATATCTTCTCTCCCACTGCTGCTACTTCCTTCTCTTCCTCCTCCACAGCTTCCCTCTCTCCCTCCTCCCCTTCTCTTCGAGCATTCTGGTGGTAGTATTTTGAATAATCTTATTGTTTATGCACACCACAATTAAAATAATTACTTCATCTCTGTAATTTATGCTCATAAAGAAAATGATACCCTGGTCCCTGAACAATTACTCTGGTCTCTTTGGAACAAAATTAAATAATTTTTCTTCAAACTTCAATTAATCTTTTGTCTTCATTGGAGAACTTGCTGTTCCTATACAACATGCCGCTTGGATTACAATTTCACTTCCTGAGCACTCTATCAGAAATTAGGGACATAAATCTTATTGTTAGATATTAAAGTTCTGTGCAGTTTTAAATTTTCAAGGTCTACTTAGCAGCTAAACTTGATTAAAGATCAACCTGTGAACACTTAGAGAAGATTTTTTTTTTTAACTCTGAATTCCTGCAGAGGACAAATGTGTTTCCCCTCCTTTCCACTTTGGGATCGTATACTTTTCGGTAGGGACGTTAAGCTAACTATACAGCATTCTTTTAACAATTAAGCCATCAGAAACAAAAGCCAAGTAGATTTGCAGGTAAATTCCTTCTCCACCGTGTGCGTGTCCTGTGGCTTCAGTGAGTTACTTAATGACCTCTAGAACTGTTTCCTTGTCTGTAAAACAGAGATAATGACCGTGTCTGCCTCTAGTAGGGGTTAAGTGAGGTGACCTCTTAAATGTGTTTAAAGTATACCCTCACCCGGAGAGAACATTAAATACCTACTCTAGAGTTCTAGACAAAAAAGAAGAAGGCAGAAGAAAAAATGGAGCCTGTGTGCATAGGGCGCAGTGTAGTGTGGGAACGCTCAGAGGACCAGGGCATTCTGCACTGCAGGTAGAAGTGGGCAGCGCTAAGCTGATCATAATGAGCACGTTCAGGTGAAAATTTCCCGCTTGCGCACGCATTCATTCATTCAGGCACTCACTCATAACTCTCTTCCCTTTGATCTTCTATCTCTCCCTCCTGACCCATCTCAATCTTCCTGCCTTTTTAGGTTCCCTGCCAGCCAGCTACTGAGCTCCTAAAGCAAGGAAACTGAGGCAGAATGAGCCCCTTTAAGGACATTCTTTTCATTTTTATTTATTTATTTATTTTTTTGGTCTTTTTGAGTCAGGGTCTCGCGGTGCAGTTCAGGCTGGCCTTGAGCTCACTTTGTAGCCCAGGCTGGTCTCGAACTTGCGATGACCCTCCTGCCTCCACCTCCTGAGTGCTGGGATTACAGGCATGCGCCACCACGCCCCGCTCTCTTTTCATTTTTAATCTGTAAAAAAGCACAGTACTTCCAGAAACTAGTAAGCGTGTGTTATTTTATAAACGACTTCTCTGTGCGTCGTGACTCCCACAGACTGAGATGCCAGCCGCTCTTCCACTCCTCGGGATGCCTCCTGGTTCAGACGGTCCATCTCTCCCTCGCGGCTCCGCCCCGTAGCTCAGGCTACGTCACGGCACCGAGACGCTCTGATGGACGCGTATGGCTAACGGGCGTGGTTCTGCACTAGCTGTTTTTTTTAGATGACATAAACTTCTGGAAGGCTACAGTACTTTATTCTCATGTCTCTGTATCTGACACAAATCTCAGAGTCATTTCTTCTTCAGGCCCTGCTTGAATTTCTCCAAAGAGTCATAGATAATAAAGAGAAAAATAAAATGACAGTCATGAATGTAGCAATGGTCATGGCCCCAAATCTCTTCATGTGCCACGCACTGGGTTTGAAGTCCGGCGAACAGCGAGAGTTTGTAATGGCAGCGGGGACGGCAAATATCATGCACCTACTGATTAAGTATCAGAAACTTCTATGGACAGTAAGTACATATGTCTCTAAATTACATTCAAGACCATACAATTACTATATAATTTTCTAGCATAATCATAGCCGTTGTGAGCGTAATTTTGTAAAGCTGATATGAAAAATGTAATATGCTTTTTTCTTAGTGGCTAAAAGCCATATTATAAAATTGTAAAATTACATGTATAATTTGTGAGCGTAGCAAATATTAAAGACTTTTGATAGGTATGGGTAAGGAAGGCCTTTTGAATTTCCATTTTAAAATCACAAAATCATGTCAACAAAATTGCCCTTGTATGAAGCTTTTTTTTACTTACTTCTAAGCATTTTCCTTTTAGTTAGTATTCGTGCCTAATGTCTTGTTTATTATTATATCATTATGTATTATTATTATTATTATTGTAGTAGTATTTTGGCTTTTTGAGATAGGGTCTTGCTATGTAGTTCAGGCTAGTCTTGAACTCACTATGTAGCCCAGGCTGGCCTTGAACTTGTGGTGATCCTCCTGCCTCAGCCTCTCCAGTGTTGATAATACAGGTGTGTACTGCCATACCTAATGCCTGTTGTCTTTTTAAAAGCCCATGCTGACTTGGCCTCAGACCTTTAACCATGCTTCTGCATTGGCCTGTTATTTGAATGCATACATTCTGTGTCCTCACTGCTGAGAAAGTGTTGAAAATGCCCTCCATTTTCACTCTTAACTTGAGCTGGAGTTTTGACAGATAATCAGAACCTAATGGTAGATGAGAGGCTTAGTTGATTAAGGTCTCATTTTCCAGTAAAATTTATAATTTGTATGAGAGAGGCATTTTATAGGCATTTAGAAAAATGAATAAAATTGTAAGCAAAATTACAATGTTGAATATTCATTCTCTTATTTGAAGAACCCCAAGATATTAATTTAAGACAGAGTGATGATATCTAAATTGTAATTTTATTTTTTTCCCTAAAAATTTTATTTTATATGTTATAAAAGGCATCTGATGGGTAGGAGAATTCAAACGCTTTTAAAATGAATGTCTTGGGGCTGGGGATTTAGCTCAGCGGCACCTGCCTGGCAAGTGCAAGGTCATGAGTTCGATTCCCAGTACCGAAAAACAAACAAACAAACAAAAATCATATTAAAATGAATGTCTTGAGTGGGCATGGTGTTGCACACCTGTGATCCCAGCACTCAGGGAGAGGCTGAGGCAGGAAGGTCATTGAGTTCAAGACCATCCTGGGCTACAAAGTGAGCTCAAGGCCACCCTGAACTGCATAGTGAGACCCTTTCTCAAAAAGACCAAAGAAAAAGAATGTCTTCTTAAATCTTAATTTTTACCATGTACATATGATTTAATTTACATTCTTGGTAGCTTAAAATATTTTGTTGTCAGTGTGGTTTGTGAGAATAGACTCTTCCTGGATAGTCGCTAAGCGGCTGGCTGGCAGCTACTGGTTTTTGGTGGGGAGTTTTCCTTTCTCCTCTCACAGTGAAGCCTGGCTGACTGCCAGAAGGGACAACAGGTAGCTGCAGGAGCTGTAGAGAGGGGGCCGCTACCGGGACAGCCTGCCCAAGCAGTGGCCTCTACAGCCTGTGTGTGCAGTTTCCAGTCCTGACGTCTGTGGCTGGCAGAGGTCTTGAGGCCGTTGAACTTCACAGAGCTGCCTTCAGAAGCTGACAGGGCGGGTGGCAAGTGTTCCCGTGTGCAGGCTCCGTCCACCTCGCAGAGCTCGCGAATCACGTGTGTAAAGTGGCATAGTCTTCTCAAGGACAGCCTTCTTCCCCTCAAAATCCCAGGGCAGTTCGTGCCGCTGGTGTGAAGCGATGCCTTGTCCTCTCCTTCCCAAACTTCATTTCTCTTCTCTGTAGATCCCCAAGTTCATTGTTAATCAAGTGAGGAAGCAGAACACCGAAAGCCACAAGAAGGACAAAAAACCTATGAAGAAACTGCTGAAGAAAATGGCTTACGACCGAGAAAAATATGAAAAGCAAGATAAGAGTACCAATGACGTAAGGAAACCTGCAAGATGTATATGCTGATTTCGACATTGTTTCCGTAATCACTTTCTACCGCTTAATCGGGCGCGGTATCCTTCTAAAATAAAGGCGGTGGTAAATAGCTGCACTTTAGAGCGAGGAGTGATCAGTACTGACAGGTGGTTCGATGCTGGTGACTCAGCGTGCGGTTGATAATGGGGAACAAAGGAATATAGCAGAACGAGACGAGCACACGCACATTGTGTACCCACTGGCTGTGTGATGCACAGGGTGAAAAACACCCCCTGTGGGCTACTAATCTTTTTTCTTTTATCTGTAATATAGGGAGAAACAACTCCGCAAGACATGCAGGCTAATGTTTGTGTTGGACGTAGGATCGTTCCTGGGATGCAATGAATATTGGAAGGGTTTTCAATGTGATCAAAAGAAGTTGGGGGGATGAATGTTGTAGAGAAGACAATTAAGAGATTTCAAAACCAGCCGTCCAATTATAAGCACTTAGAAACTACTATAAGAATATATTAAGAACTGGGCTTTTACCAAAGTGAAACACACAGGAAAAGATATTGGGGAACTGAGTTCCCAAAGCGCTAGCGGAAATCGCAAAATGAAAGGGCTTCTATTGTTCTAGCCAAGTGAATACACCCCTCCAGGACACGATCAGGTTGTTCAGTTGCGTGCTGCCATCTAGTGGAATAATGTGGAAGTGCAATTGTCAGCCTTTGTCTATATTTTCTGCTCTGGCCCGCTTAGGGATCCGGTAGTTGTATGAAAAACGTTTTTCTTCTAAATGAATTTAGAGCTCTCTTTTTAATATGATGCTTTCTTCTCATTATAAATATCTTTTTTTAAAAAAAAACATGAATTATAATACTGGGAAATTATGAATAATGTTTATATTTTTTGAGAAAGGACTTGATATTATCGTAAGGCTGCAAAGGATTTTAGTATAGCGTTTTTGGTTCGATTTTAGAATATTACACATAGCACCGTTGTAAATGCAGGGTTTTCTTTTCTTTTGTAGCCCAGTCTAGGCATAAACATGTGATCTCATAGCCCTGACTAAGGCAGTCAGAAGTGATAGCTTGAGCCTCAGCGTCAACTTAAAGAAATACTTGTGTTTTTTTAAATAATAAATCTTCAGCAAATATTAAAAATTTACTCTCTAAAGATGGAATATCTAAGTAATTCTTCACTTCCGGAAAAGCATATTAACTTGGACTTCTTTTAGTTTGTCTTTTGAGCTAATTCGACAGGAGCTGGGCTGAGAATTACCTCTGCCCTGTTTAAAAGCTGCAGTATCAGGCCTTGAATTTCAATCTCAGGGGTTTTTGCACGTATACACTCTAACTTTGCCTCTGAGTTTTGGTTCTTTTTTTCCGTGCAATTCAGTTCTTCACTGAACAAAATGCTACTGAATCTGTACGCTGAGCCCCCAGCCTGGGGGTTGGGATTCAGTGGGTGAAGCCAGAGGTGGGTGTGCCTCCTTCGGGATGTAGCTCAGAGTTCCGGGAGGTGTGCAGGGGAGGCCTGACCCCAGATACGGTGGGGCTGGAGACAGGAAGCTGCATCAGGGGTCCTTGCCCGGGAAGTCCAGCTGAGAAATGGGAAACACATAGCTGTTATCCCGGCATCCCTGGAAGCAGAGATCTGGCCTGAGGCGCATCAAAGCCCATGGCGGGGCCTGGCTGACCTCTCATTTGCCTTGAATCATTTTTACCAGTTTCCCAAGTTTATTGTTCAAGTTGGCATCATTTTAGTCAAGAGAAGAATATGCACACAAAAAAGTTACCAGCAAGTGTAAAGATGAATCCAAATACTGTAGCTCTGTGGTCACTAAGTATGATAGTCAGAATTATTTTCTGTGTAAGTTTCTGTCACTTGCCAGAATTTGAAAACAAGACTGAATATAAAAGCCAGGTTTGTCGTCTTATACTATCAGGCTGTGGGGCACCCGAAGTCCTCGGCGGCAGAGGGCCTGCTTCTGCACAGGATCGCAGTGGCTCAGCTCTGAGGCTCCCCTGGCCCTTGTGGGTGCGACGTGGGCCACCCGCTCACTCTGACTTCTTTTTGTTTGTTTGTTTTGTTTTTCTCCAGTACCAGGAATCGAACTCACAACCTTGCGCTTGCCAGGCAGGTGCTGTGCCGCTGAGCTAAATGCCCAGCCCTCACTCTGACTTCTTGCTTGGCTTTTTTGCTTCTGTCTTCCAAATCACTTGAATATACTATGTAAAACTGGGCCAGATGCTCTCTGGGGTGGTTTATTTTTCCTGCGTGTTACTTGATGTGAGCCTACTGTGTGCTAGGCATCGTTATTGGGCACTTCAAATATCCACTGACTAAAACAGAAGGATCACTTCTCCTATAGAGTTTAAATTCTTTAAGTCTAACTATAATAAGTAAACTACATAGAATGCTAGCATGTGGCCAGTGCTTTAAAAATAATAAAGATAGCAAAGGGTTCGGCGTGCATGTGCTTGTGGTGTTGACTTGGATAGTCTGGGCATTACTCACATGAGCAAAGCATGAGGGAGGACAGGGAGCTGAGCTGCCTTTGTATCCGGAAGCTCATTCCGGGCTGAGGGAAGAGTCCTGTAAAGGCTTTAGGCAGGAAATTGCTTGGGGTATTTGCAGCCTAATAAGGAGTGGGCTGGAGTGAAACTAGCCAGGGGGGCAAACAATGAAAGGTCAGCGGAGCAAGGGCAGAGTCGCACAGGGCCGCCTAGAGCACCCTGCGGAGTCCGAGTTCTCCCTGGGGTCATGGAGTCGCTGCAGGGTTTGGAGAAAAGGCCTGAAAGCCTGTATTACATTTAAAATGGCCCTGTGAGCTGGCGTGTTTCAGATCAACTGTAGGAGCACAAGGTAGAAAGAGGGAAACTACTTGGGAAGTTCTTACATCAGGCTGAGAAATGACGGTGGCTCAGGCCAGCGCGTCCGTTGGAAGTGGAGAAGTGATTGGGTTCTGGATATTTTTTTAAAGTTAGAAGCATTGGCATTTCTTTTGGGAAGTGATATGACTTGTAAGAGAAAGAGTAAAAAGTGACTGAGAGGCTCGAGAAATTGGCAGGTTGGCTTGGATAGGAAGGGTCATGACTGCAATGTAGGGCTGTGCAGGGTGCGGTGCCCGTCAGACGTCTCAGTGGGCAGGCTGGGCGGGAAGGTGGGCTGATGGCTGGTGAGGTGCAGAAAGGCAGGGGCAGTGGGCAGCCAGGCTCAAGGGGGGGCCAAGCTTCCATACCGTGTGTGATGCAGAACTGCTGAAAGGTCAGGAGTGTGTGAGTGTGTCTGCACTTCAGAGCACCCTCTGTGGTGGTAGGGGAGGAAGAGCGCAAGGAGGGGCTGAGTATTCCCACTACTGATGGGCGTGTACACGTCAGGAAAGGCAGGCACGGGCGGCACAGGCCTGAAAACTGTGCCGTTCTTTACACTGGCCCACATAGATGTAAGCCAAAAGAGCACAGGTGGCCAGCTAAATATGTCACGATAGATGCGTACAACGAAACATGAGAACATACAAGTTCCCTTCATCTGAAGATGCCCATGTCCTTGTGTGAGAAAGGAAGTTGCAATTCAGTGAATAATACCCTGCTGTATTTGTGAAGAATAACTGTGATGTTTCTTAACTGTTTGCGAGAGGTCAGTGTGGTATGATCCTAAACATTTTATAGACATTATCTCATTTAGGATTTGTGGAAGACTAGTTAGAGTGTATTCTCTCTCTCTCTCTCTCTCTCTCTCTCTCTCTCTCTCTCTCTCTCTCTCTCGTCTTTTTGAGATACAGTTTCATGATGTACTTCGGGCTGGCCTTGAACTCACTCTGTAGCCCAGGCTTGCCTTAAACTCATAGAGATCCTCCTGCCTCAGCCTCCCAAGTGATGGGATTAGAGGCGTGCACCACCGTGCCTGTCTCTCATTTTTTTTCATAGGAGCAAAGTGTGGATCAACAACCTTAAGGGTTTCTACATCTGAAATGGTAGAGCCAGGAATTCAAAACCAAATCTATGTGAGTTTAAATCCATGGATTCTGTGCCATCATCCTCCACATTACAAACCAAAACAAGAACGAGAGCAACACACACACAAAAAAACCCCTTTCGAAGTATGTATAATAAAACCCTGAGCTTCTAGATGGCCATAGAATGAAGTGATTTACTGCGGCTATAAAATATGTTTTGCACATAGCTTTGAGAAGAGTCCTGGGCTGGACCAAAGCCCAGTTAGTGATGGAAACATTAACTGAGGAGGAACGGTTTGCCCGACGGGGACAGCGGCTAGCTGTGGGAGTGTGGACGCGGGGGGTGGGGGGTGGTGTACTTCCTGAAATTTGCCGAGGTGATTTGATCACCAAGTAAAAGAATGGCGCAGAAGGAACAAACTTGAAATATAGGTCCGTTTTTGACATCTTGGGGAGACCTGCCTGTGCGGGAATTGGCCACAGGGCCAGGAATGGAGGCCGTGGGGCAGCCGGGGTGGAATGTGCCTTTGGGATTAGCCTGGAGCCTGGGGCCGAACCGCAGAGTTTCGTATTACAGGAGCAGGACAGGGAGAATAAAAAGGCAAAAATCGTGGCACACCACTGTCCCGGGCCGATGAAGAGGGTAAAAGCACCGGCTGAAGAGGCTAAGACGCAATAAGGCGGAAGGGAAAGTTAAAGGATGTGATTGTCTTGGAAGGCCAGGCAGGAAGAGCAAACTAAGCAACAGAACCTGAGTTAGTCCTCAGCCGCACAGAAGTGGAGGGTGACACTGGATAAAGGCCTGCGGGGCTTGCTCTTGGCAGTCACTCATGACTGTTCCAAAGCCCTGGGAGTGACCGTGGACGGAGAAAGCCAGGTTGTCGGGGATGGGAGAGTGAAAGACGGGAATGCAGATATGAGAATTTGTGAAGGTAATATTTTTAAAACCACTTTGTATGCTATGAAAGCTAACTACACATAATTGGGCACTCATATTATGAATGTATGCTTGACTAGGTAAATTAATAGCTTCAGCCAGGTTGTAAGACACACTCAA